ATTAGAATGACTTCAATGTGGTTGTAAAAATAGCACAGCATCTCTATTGTCCCTGTAATTAGCCTAGTGCTAAATTACATAGGAAACATATTTGAAGTGATTGGGAAATAATTCTGAAATTATAAAATGAAGTGTTACCAACCAATATATGAGGTCAAGGATCATGTTGGCCATGTTAACATCTGCGTACCAAGATAACAACTGATTTGACTAACAAGGGCCCAGACTACCATGAAATAAGTCTGGATAAGTAAGTCTTACCCAGGTCCCCCACATAACTCCCCCTGACCTGAATATTCATGCAGGCAAAAAAAAAAAAAACCCACAAAAAAAACCCCCACACAATATCCTGCTGAAGCAAGCAGTCACCATCACCTGGACATCAGGACTCTGCAGCCAGCATCAATAATTTTAACCACTCAGCACTTCATGAAACACAAAAAACTAATGGAAGCAAGCCCAGCAGTCATTTGGCACGTCTCCCCTTGTTTTTCATAATCTAGGTCACCCAGTAGGTTTTGAGAGTGTTTGGGGAAACGCTGCAGCTGTAGTAGAGAAACAGACAAAAAGAAAAGAAGTGAACGAGTGGGGGAGAGCACCAGGTTATGAGCATAAGTATTCGAGCTGATTTTATCCCCTGCTTTGAGGAAAAGCCTTGACATGCTAATTAACAGGCTAGCTCCCATTTTGTCCCACTCTCCTCAACACTTAACACGCTAAATCCTGTTCTGAAATAGCCGCAGCACCTCTGAGGCTGAGGAGCTGAGGTTCTCTACAGTGGTGGAGGAAACAACTGGCTAACGTAACGTGACAGCGTGGAAGAGCCCACAGGGGCTAACGCAGCGCATATGCATACATTAGCATATTTTCAGTATGAAGCCAATGTTGCCATTTGGACATAAGGACACACACACACACACACATGCGCACACACAGTTGTGGCAGGATTAAGCCTTGGGGTCAGCGTATTCGATTCAACATAAAATCTAACATATGGCCGGCTAAGCGCTGGATCTTTGATTTGTGTAAATGGACGCTGTGGCGAGCTGTTTCTAACACACTTAAGTTGGTTATTTCTGGACTCCATATGGCACCACAGGCGATGCAGTGAGGGCTGGGGTTAATTCAGTTTGTATTGAGTCATGTTGAATTTCAAATTGAAATGACAATTTAGCCCTTTAAGTCTATGGGAACTGCAAATGTAGCCACTCAGTATTTCTTCTTCTTCTTTGGTGTTTCCTCCAGGCAACGTGATTTTTTTTTTTTTTTTAAAGAGAAAACATGAAATCACATGAAGTCTAAACAAAAAATCGTACCATTGTCAAAAAAATGTTACATGTTCTTGACATGTATGTTTGTATCTGTAAGTGTAAATTACAGCACATTTTGACATTTTTAAAGTTTGACAGAAAGCCACTTTCAGAATTGACCTAAGCTGAACTGAACTCACAATCATTCCCAATCCCTGGACCATGGACCAGCATAGCATGTGACTGCTGAACACATGCTACATGCTAATTTGACAAAAACAAAAAAAAATCGTATCTTTTATATAATCATATGACTGCATGAGATGTTATAGACCTTTTTTTTTATCTGTGCTGCAAGTTCCCTGCTGCTCCCAGCAACAACGTACTGATGTTTAAATAAAGTAGGTCATCAGTACGAGAGGTAAACAGTGCATCATTATCACTTTTCTACATTTATCAGTACAGTAAATCTTTTGTAATCCTTTGTCTATTCACTGAATCTTTTTTGTTTTTATGTTTTTTGGATGCAGTGAGGGACATCTTCACCTACAACTTCTTCAAAGTAAACAACAAAATTTGTTGTTTCTTCATGCACTGAACACATGAAAGCGTTGTCAGCTCTGATCAGCTCATTTGTCAGTTGTCCTCACAAATTACTGCTGAGGAGTAAATCTGTTTTATGATGTGACAGCACTGTGGTTAAGGTGTGGATAGATTTAGGCAAAAAAAAACCCCAAACAACTTAGTTAGGTTTAGGGAAAGATTGTGGTTTTATTAAAGTTTGGGGGCCTTCGTCACCATGGTGACACTGATGAATATATCATGGTTTTAGAAACAATTGTGCTCATGCTTTAAAAAAAAACATCATAAGACAGTTTGGAATGGGAAAAAAATGGGACACAAACAATTGATGCTGGGATCGGGGGTTATCCCGTTACCGTTGTGGTGAAGAGGGAACTGAGCCTGAAGGCAAAGCTCTCGATTTACCTGTCAATCTCACCTATGCTCATGAGCTTTGGCTAGTGACCGAAGGAAATCAGATGGCAGATACAAGCGGCTGAAATGAGTTTCTTCTGTAGGGTGGCTGGGCTCAGCCTTAGGGAGAGGGTGTGAAGCCGTGACATCCGGAGGGAGCTCAGAGTAGAGCTGCTGATCCTTCGCGTTGAAAAGAGCCAGTTGAGGTGGTGTGGGCATCTGGTTAGGACTCCTCCATTGGAGGTCCTCCAGGCGCATCCAACTGGCAGGAAACCTCAGGGTAGACCCAGAGGTTATGTATCTCATCTGGCCTGGGAACGCCTCAGGATCCCCCCGGAGGAGCTTGTTGGGGACGTCTGGACTACTTTGCTTGACCTGCTGCCAGCGTGACCTGACCTCGGATAAGTGGCAGAAAATGGATGGATGGATGGATTCTTTATTTGCAAGTCGACAGTAGAGATGAAGAGAAAGAGAGACAGGCGTGACGTGCAGCAAAGGGGCTAAAAAAGGAGCAAAAGTGGTGCTGAGAGGGACCACAGTGGCTAAATAAAATGACTCGCCTGCTCCCTTTTCTCTCTGCCTCCACGCACACATATGTTTAGCGCACACACGTACACACACATGCTACATACACAAAAACAGAGTAATCACCAATTCACAGTGTGTGTTTTCCTGTGCTGTGGTCACAGCAGGCGTTGACCATGAAGCAGAGTTCACCACTAAATCATCCAGACACTGCCGCCCTGCTCGTTAATCTCTTTGACACACACAGAAAGCACATACACAACCTGCACACGACACGCTGCATGCATCCACCACATGGCGCACACGCACATACAGAAGTGCATGGATTATCAGCTCAAACAGTACATACATCCTCCAACAACAACAAAAAAAAAACCCTGGCTGCCCTCTCCTCCCTCTGTGTGTCTTGTGCCAGCAGTGGTTTGATTGTCATTGACAGTTTCCATTAGAGCCGCGCTCATTTCACTCCGAGCTCAATCATTTCAGGAAGTGGATTTTCCTCCGAAACTGAAAAGTGGAAATATTTTGCCACAGAGGGGCTCTTATATCCAGAGATGATTGAGGATGAAAGGTCTGTCATTATCATGCGAATTGCAGTTTCGATTTACATTTTGGATCGAGGGAAGTGATGGAGGAGAGCTTACCGCTGGTCCTGTCTCTCTCTCTCTCTCTCTCTCTCTCTCTCTCTCTCTCTCTCTTCTCTCTCTCTCTCTCTCTCTCTGAGGCTGAAGATGTGTCTCAGCCCATGGACTTTTATGTTTAAAGCCTCAATGAGAAAGATGGAGAGAAGAATGAGAGAATGAAGGGATGGAAAATGGACAGAAGAGAAAGATAAACCTTGTATTTTCTTGGGGGGGGGGGTTGTTGGTGTTGGGGGGATGTTTCTGAATGAATCATCACAGAGATCAAAGCTTTATTCAGGAGCAGGATTTTACTTTTATTAACCGTGTTATTCCAGTGCTATAGTGTTTGCCCAGCAGCCACAATCAATTATCTGACACCCACTCCTCTCTCTCTCTCTCTGCCTCTCTGCCTCCCCCTCTCCCTCCCTCTTCCCTTGTCTCGTCTTCTCTCTGCTGTGTCTTATTTAGTCATTTATCATAACTCCCAAATACTGATTGCATCAGCCTGAAATTTCACCCCTGCTTCTGTGAACTGCTGAGCTCAGATATGAAAATATGTTTCTCTGCCTCTCTAATGTCTCACGCTTTCTCCACATTTTCCTTTTCCATTTTTCTTCTTCTTGCTCCATTCCAATCATCCCCCTTTTCCTAATCTCATGTGTAATTCTTCTCTCCTTTGTTTTTGATCCTCTATCCTGTCCTCATTTCCTCTCCTCTCATCTTTTGTCTCGTCTTCTCCTCTTTGCATCAGTCCTTCTTCATTCCTTACATCGTCTGTTCTTTCCTAGATAATCTTCCTTTCCTTCATCCTCTCCTCTTCTCTCCTCTCCTCTCCTCTCCTCTTCTCTCCTCTCCTCTCCTCTCCTCTCCTCTCCTCTCCTCTCCTCCAGCTCCGTTGGGGCCCATCAAACTCCTAATGAGAACCTGAATGAGTCCTCCAGGGGCCTGTAATGATGGACTCCCTGTGTGCGTTGTGTGTGTTTGCACACACCGTGTGTGTTGATGTGTTTTTGTAGAAATGCCCACAGACTCCCACGAGTTGTGACTGTGTCTGTTTCCAGCTCTGCAGTGTGTTTGCCTTCATAAGAATTTAGTAGTTTAGTGCATGGTTGACATGTCTGAGTGTGTGTATTTGTGTGTATTTGTGTGTGTGTGTGTGTGTGCTTGTGTGCGTGCCTGCCTGCCTGCCTGCCTGCCTGCCTCTTGCAGGCCCCTTCCCTGAGCCTCATGACCTCTATTACAGTGCTGTGATTGGTAGCTTTTCCCTCTACTCCCAACACATTTTTTCACTTTGGTCCAGAGTTCAGTTCCCATCATTAAGTTTGCCTGTAGATACTCAGTATTTTAAGACCCTGTCGTCTGGATCTATAACTGAAAAGCTTCTTTTTCTAAGTGTTGATCCATCTTCAACACACTCTGTTTTACACGAGAGGTACAGAATGACATGAGAACAACACAGAGTACACGTAAAGCCATTATAGACCTATAGTATCCATACATGCATTAGTGCTGCAGACATTTTCATCTTGACTGTTACCTAAGCGTCAAGATGCTGTACCTGCCAATCATCGCCTGTCTCCATGGTGATATGTTGACTCGGAGGTGACTCTTTCCATTTTCTCCTCAGGCCTTTGGGAATGCCAAGACGGCCCACAACAACAACTCCAGCCGCTTCGGCAAGTTCATCCAGGTCAACTACCAGGAGAGCGGCACTGTCAGGGGGTGAGAGACACACACACACACACACACACACACACACACACACACACGTACGCACACAATAACGGTACAGAATACAGGTACACAATTCACAGACCCGTAGTCACAGGCCTGCACAAAAACAGGTGGGATAATTAATATTTATTGATTGATCACCATAAATTAATTCATACGTCATAGCTAATAATCATGTAAAAACAACTCTTCATTGATATCCTACATTGATCACATAAGGTCATAATAAGAAATCAATCGTTTAGATATTGTGTTATGACTTAATCAACAGCAGTTGGATAATTAATATTCGGTGATACTTTAATAATGTCTGATTCAACTTTTTACAGATTGATAGTGAAGGATTAAGAAACTGATGGATTAGTTTAAATCAATCAGAACTTGAACTGCGGGGGTCAGTTTGTATGTTTTCTTATCTGTCTTTGTAATTATTCATGTCTGCCATTTCATTACTTTGTTCCTTGCATTTTGTTAATACCACTAGAGCTCTGTTTTACATGTGTGTGTGTGTGTGGCATTTTCAGAGCCTATGCGGAGAAGTACCTGCTGGAGAAATCACGTCTGGTGTACCAGGAGCACAATGAGAGGTGAGTGGAGACATCAGACTGACGGCAGGGTTTGTGGTTGATGTGCTGCAGGTTTGTGAGTTGCTGAGCTACTTACTGATCATTTCATCACCGGTGCATCTGACAGATTCAGTGTCGACATATTGTCACCTAGTAGTCCCAGTGTTCGATCACGTTATAGCCATGTATTTAACACATTTCTGACATGATCATGTGGTAAGATTTTCCCCCAGACGTTAGACTGTAATTTGAAGATACAATTCATCAGCATTCATTTTGATTATTAAATGTGAGAATCAAAAAATAATCAATACATTTATTTTAACAAACCCTCAGTTTAACCCTCTCTGTCTTTCTATCTTACTTGGACTGACTCTTGTACATAATCAACAGCTCATTTGCAAGTTCTGCCCACTTTTTGAAACATGCTTATTTTAAGACGACCCTGCCAAATTCTGTGTGTGGACATAAAATCCAGCTGAAACTCAATTGTAACAAATCTGCTCCTTTTTATGAAGTAATTTTTTAATTCAGTGAAAAAAAGAAAAAAAAAGAAAAAATGGAAATAACAAACTTAAAGTAACCCCGACTGATGTGACGCAGCCATGAATAATCCACATCAGAAACTGGAAACGTTGAGAACCGTATCCCTGCTTATTTGAGAGATAAGATGTCAAATCCATATCTCGTGTGTTCCCCGTCTAAGAAACTCGATACTGAAATAGCCTTCATTTCCTCTGCAAGCTGAAGATGCATCAGGCTGAATAACCCTCTGCCCCTTCCTCAACTGTCAGGTTTACTGTCTGAGTTTGGTCATTTATACGAGCGGGACGTGATTGCTTAATTAAACATCAGGAGTCAGGAGAAAATATACAGATGTCAGATATATCGCAGAGATTGGTTATGTTTCCTGTTTAATGCAACAACAGAACTTGTCTGTTCTCACTTCTTGTTTCTTTTCACACTCACAAACAGTATAAACCTACTATGTTTGAATCACCTATCTCAGGCAGTGAGACACGCACACACGCACGCACACAGACACACACGCGCACGCACACACACACACACAGTTTCTTTTCTTTCCTCTTATCTCTCTCAGGCAACAGAAAAAAAAATGTCTTTGTGACAGAAGAAAAAAAAAAACAACGTAAAACCCTCCACTGGTCATCTAATCCCTCTAACCCCGGTTGGCCTGAGGTGTCCATTTCATCCTGATGACAGCGCCTGGCGGCCATATTGATAGGGTAGAAACTAAAGACAGGACCTCCCAGTCGGCTCAGACCTGGAACAGAGAGGAGGTGGGAGAGCAGGCAGGCTGATGATAAAGTACGAACTAGCTTAAATCGTAAAGCCTGTTCCCTGACATGCCGCCTCTGTACGACCCCAGTGCTGGGGGAAAAAAATCAAGTGGAGAGAACTAGCTGAGCTTTCCAGGGATCCTGTCAGGCTTTATGACTCTGCACTTGGACGGGACGGTAGTGAAGGTCAGAATATGGTCCACAAAAAGTGACACACCTGACATTTATCCCACAAAAGTAGTTCCCTCTGAAGTTGTTCACAGTAGTAGACACTGTGCTGGTGATAATAACAGAGGACTTGAGTGTAGCTGGTACAGGGCTGGGTATTATACTGCAATTTAATGGGTTGAAATTCCTAAAATTAATAAGTTGAACAAAAATTAATGAGTTAAAACTGTTTCACCAATCAGTTCTTTTTTCAGTCAGAGATTTTACATTTCCACTTTAAAAATTGTCCTGTGAAAAGTTAAAAACAGACCTGGAAAACTATTAAAATAAATGAAATGATTATAAATAACCAAGTATGTTGAGAATATTTAGTAAGTTAGTCAGTTTGGTTGTTACTTGCATCCAGCACAATGTAACAATCTTTCGTTGAACAAGCCGTTTAAAACATTTCTTTGCAGTCTAGTCATCGCAGGTGCAAGACAGGTGAAAGGTGAAGAAAAACAGAACTGCGGTTTTGAAAAAGAAAAAGAAATCTGAATCTGTTTTAACCCGGGACTGTTTTATGTTCATCGTGGCGAAGGTATACAGTATGAAGCCATTGCAGAAAGTGCAGTTGCAGAATTGCGTCGGGGATGTGCCCTGCAGCATGGACTTATCTAAATCACTGATTACTCTGGACTTATCTGGCAACAGTACCAGTATCTTTCCACCTTACTTCCCTTGTAAACTTAGTTGGATATATATATTTTTGTGTATTTGTGTATAAGTTACAATTGTTTTACTGAAGTTGTTCATTATCTCTCTTCTTCAGCCATCTAATCTTATTTTTCTGTCGTATTTCTGTTGCACACCTGCACCCAAACAACTTCCTTGTGCACATGTACTTGGTGCATAAAGTCTGATTCTGATTCTTGGGAGATTTGGACGTGTTCTGGCAGAGCGATGTTTGTAAAAGGCTGCCTTTAACCCTGTGGCAGGTCAGCAAGACTCCTGTTTTTCTCAAGTGCAGTTTGGGCTCAGGGGCTCCGGTTTTTAGTCCAGTGTCCATGTGGATAACGGCTCCGTTAAGGGAAATAACAAGTGCCCTTTGCCCTGAAACGACCAGATCCATCAATCAACCTGATCTGCATGTGTGTTTATTCATTACAGTGTTTCACTACTGTGGTGACTTAAGCCTGCCGGCCTGCTGACTAGTTCGTCGACTATTTTTGTAGCTCATTCAATGTTCATTACGAGGAAATGTTCAATGAGAGTTATTTGAGGTGCTCAGTCCATTAATTATTTACCTGAATCTTTGTAGTACATGGAGTTCAGAAAGGAAAAAGTATGAATATTTTAGCATCTTCAGGAGATTATGTAACAACAATTTGTTAGAGTTGTAATGGTAGAAAAGTGTTAATGTTAATATGAAGTCTGCAGTGAGGGAGAAAACACAATGGCACAATGTTATAATAGCTTATAGATGGACATTTTCACTGTTTTGAAATGAACCTGTAAAATTACTGTTTTATATGCAACACACAACCTCGCATTCGTACCTCTGTCTGTTTAACCACACGCCATCTGTCAGTTTTAGTAGCTAATATGAAAAATGTTCCAGTGGGAGACGACAGTGAGTAGCAACCATAACGCTAATGCTAACACAGACCACACTAAGTTCACTACACAGGTAGAGTCAAACAAACACAACAACCAGCAGCACAAATGAAAAGCACAGACGCCTCCTCACATTAATGATACTATAAAAAACACATTGTCATGCTGTTTGCCTGCTTCACAAGTTAAGAGCACCGGTGCCCTCATTCTAGTTATCATAATATATTTGAAACATTAGTATTACATCACGTGTGAAAACTGCTTTTTCCACAAAACATGTATCTGCCAGATGTGTTACATTCATTCAAAAACTTGACTGCAGTCTAAACAGAATTTAATCGGTGTCATTGATCGGTCGCACAGGATCATGAAAAGAGACGCTGTTTAACTTTTAAACTCTGGAAAATTACAAACATAACAACATGGCACGTTTTCCATCCAAAACTCCTCAAACTGAAACTCTAAACACATGTCGACCACAGGCTGAAGAATGTTAGCAATATTCATTAAACAGCCATGAGCACACTGTAGCGCTGTGAACGGTCTCAACCTTAAATCAGGTGTTTATTCCTTTCAGTGCAAAACCATCCACATGTTTCACAAAATGAAAGGCTCAAAGACCAGATCACACGAGCTAACAGCTAACTCTGCTCTGTGAGCTAACAGGCAGGATTCCCTCTGGAGATGAACATTTTCCACTCATTAATTCTGTGATTGATGCAGTTTTTTATTTCATGTTGTCACCCCATCAGTCATTTTGAGCTGTTTTCTGCCTGCTGCCTGCGCACATCTCACTGATGACGTCTTCTGCCCACGATGAAGTTGTTGTATTATGTTATGAAAGTTGTCATAAAGATATTATTTAGTAGGTTATTCACGTTAAAGCCTTGCTGCTGCTGCTACTGCATCTCCTGCGTACAAGTACCGTGGAGACAGGTTTCAGTAAAAAAACACCCATCTACCAGTTACGCTCTGGGATTCTTTAATATCCTCCCTGGACCTCCTAACTTTCCACCACTCCATCAAGCTCTAAGTGTCCCTGCGCAGAGAGGTGAAGCTCGTTTCCAGCTGTAATAGAATTACATCTCAGTGCGCTGGCCGAGGCCCCAGCCTTTGTCACGGTTAATCAGAGGCCCTTACCTCCAGCCCACACACCACACTGCTGCTTTGTTTGACTTGAAACGTGAAGCCTGCCGGGTCCAAGGTGTGACTTATTTGTTACAAGTCGCAGGTTTTGCAGATAGAAAGTTTTTCACGGCGCTCTTCTCCACAGCTTTGACCGGAGTCTCTTCCTCTGTCGTTGTTTCAGTGGAGCGAGGAGACGTGAAAGCGGCCGTCCTCAGTTCACCTCCGAGGGAACTGAAACTGTTCAAGAGATCAATACAGGGAAGATGTTTTGTTCTGTATTGTCTTATCATACCCTCTAACGTGTGTGTGTTTGTGTGTGTGTGTGTGTGTGTGTGTGTGTGTGTGTGTGTGTGTGTGTGTGTGTGTGTAGGAACTACCATGTGTTTTACTACCTGTTGGCTGGAGCCAGTGAAGAGGAGAGGAAGACCTTCCACCTGCTGAAACCTGAGGAATACCACTACCTCAACCAGGTCCGTACACACACACACACACACACACACACACACAAACATGACATTTAATTCATTTGAAAAGCAAAATAAATACAGATTGCTCTGTTGTGTTGCCTGTCAGATGAAACTGGATTTGTGTTATTGGGAGAAACTTTGACAGTCACCGGCGAGGTGTCCATCCAAATGTAGAAAAAATTTTAATTGAATTTTGAGAAAATCTGCGAATGGAAGTGCGAGTCAATGCACGTCCCATCCACTATGTTATAACATGAGAAGTTGGCTCATAAAGATAAACAGCTGGTGGCTTAAACTGTTGATGAATAAGAGGGTGCAACAGGATGACGCAGTTTCCTTTGCACTTCACATTTTGCTTTTATCGATACACCAACATTTCCTCCTCAGCCAAGTGTAAAAACTTTTTTTGTAATATTTTGTATAATGTGTTATTTTATTTTTCTGAATGTCTGTCGTTTCCACTCCACTCATTTATTTATTTATTTATTATTTTTATATTTTTATATTTTATACGATCACTGCTAATCAGTGTGGCTGGATATTCATCGTCAATGCTTTTTGAAAGGGGTGGACACCATAAATACAATTCTTAGTTACAGTATATATGATTTTATGTCACAATATTAATATAGATTGTGATGTAATACATTTTCTGTAAAATCAAATGGCACATTGTTAATGGTTAAAATAATCAGACAGTGTCTGTTTTTTTTACCAAGTATTTACCTGACAAAGTAAAATCCAATAAGACTATATAACAGTCCTGCTCATTCATTTGTAACATTACCCACAATACCCTGAATCACCCAGACATACAGTACTGACGGTCAACAAATTTTTAGTCTCATATCATCACATTACCCATCCCTGCTTTTGAGTTTTAAAACCAGTCAAATAGCAAATAGTAAAGGTTTGGCATCAGGTTGATTATTTACAAACTCTTTTATCAAATATGTCCTGATTTAACGCTTAACCTTTTTCAAACAATGAGTGTCAGAGAGGCCTGTCTACTGGTGACACATCACCATGTAAAGAGTCACAAACTGCTTGTCTTGACATTACTTATTCAGTGTGGTTGCATGTCATTTGTCAGCAGTCACCAAAGACGATAAACCAGCATTACTTATAGAATTACAAGCTGTTTAATGTTAACAAGTTGTAGGACAAAAAGATAGTGTGACCCATACAAAGAATTAAAGAGATCTGATTTGTGATTTGAAGGAAACATTGTGAAGTTCAGATTTGACTGTGTGAGTAGATTTGAAGACGTAATAACCATTTTCTCTCTTAAGAAATGATGAACATTCATCTCAAATGCAAGAAAAGGATGAGTTATGATTAAAAAAATAAAGCTGAGGCACCTTGTAGAGAGATAGCTGGAGACTCAGAAGATGATGATAGAATATTTCTCTGTCTCCCTTAACTCCTTTTCTGTCCGTTGGATCTTATTCATCATATCTCTACGCTGAAGTGTTGATTGCATCAGCCCAAAATATTTCAGCCCTTCATCTGTGTGTGTCTCATGTGTGTGTGGCTGAGTGTGTTTACGTACTTGTGTACATGCCAAAAGCCCCCACATGTGTGCATCTTCTGCAGTTGGCAGCAGATGTGTGCAGGATTCATACCCCCCCCCCCCCCAGCGCCCCTCTTATGGCAGCTCACTGGGGAGGCAACAAAAAAAATGTTCTTTGTTCATCTTTTCTGGCTTCCCCCAAAAAAAGTAACAGTTTTTTATTTATATTTTTTCCTCGTCCTGCCTTAATCCCCACAACAACAAACCCCCTCCTCCTTCGCTGCTGGCTGCCTGTTACTATGCAGCTCTGTTTCCATGGCAACAGCAAGACTCAGGAGTTAATCTGGCACTGGCTTTCTCTCGTGCAGAGGGCGCCGATGGTCGCGTGTGTTTGTGTGCGCACGCGTTTGTCTGAGCAAACACACACACATCTTATACAAACAGTGTCACAAAGGAGCAAAAGTGATTACCCATATTTAGCTCTCTTCCCTCTCTAAGATGGTTTTTTGTTGTCTGTCGCTGTGTCTGTCTGTTTCTCAGCGGTGGAACTTACTGCCTTGACTCAAGTACTTAAAGCGATTATAATCAGTAGTGTATCAAAGCACAACATAAAAACAGTTTGTCAACGTGAAAGGGGGTCACACACATAGCGATGAACCAACACAGAAACATCACCTGATTCTGCAGCTCCACTCAGCTTTATAGTTTGTTTTTTTTTTGTTTTTTTGTTTGGCTGCCCGAGCCACAGCTTTTCTGTTTTGGTTCATTCTCACCGCTCTCATTGTGTCATTTCCAGCCGCAGCAAGTCTGTCACTGTTTTCACTGTAAAATCTCAAAAAAAAAAAAAAAAAAAAAACCCCACTGTACACTACCTGCCCACCACCAAACAACAGACAGACACAGTCAGACAGCAGCTGGTGAAGCTGCAGAGCTGGACATTTCCCTCAGGAGATGGAAGAGACCAAAACCAGAGCCAAAAGAAGAGTATTGAATATTGTGTGACTTACATTCATCAGGTGACACAAACACGACTCCAAATAAAGGATAATGTTGCTCCGTAACTGCTGGATGTGTAAATAAGCAACTGTTTGCTCACAGGTTCACCACATCAGTGTAGAAGGTGATGATGTCTCAGTGTTGTGTTTATAAAAAAAAAATAAAAAAAAAATCTGTTTTTTTGCAGGTTTAGGATTTCAGTTCTGGTTGATTTGGTGACACCTGCAGTTTCCATGGTTACGGCAACAGCAAACACTTGTTACGTAGTTTTGTCAATCAGTTCACAGTGCAACTAAACAAACTTGTGCTAATTTTAAAAAAGGTCAGTCAAAAAATAACCATGGCAACTGCAGTTACCTAAGTTACTTAAGTTGGACTTTTTAGCAGCAGCTACTTTTCTACTGTTGTGTTGCTATTTTTACTCAAGTAAAAGATCTGAATACTAAGTAAACGTAGTGTAAGAAACAAAGTTATCTCTCCACGAACAAATACTGATGCAGATCGTGCGGTGTCTTGTATCCACCGTCATCTCTGATCAGTTCACATCATGGATTCATTTATTGCGGCTCTGGAGATGTGTGTGTCTGTTTGTGTGAGGATTAGTAATTTTTTCCTCCCACATTAACAGCATGTGTAATCTCTCTTGAAAGTCTCTTGTGCGTTTTCCTGTGTGTAATTGTTGCCTCTTTAACCCCGCTCTGCCTTGCTTCCAGATGACAAAGAAATCGCACAAGCTCCACTGGGACAATTACTATGAGAGCGAGCTGGTCAGTATCACGTGGATGACAAGCTGTTTGTGTGCGTCTGTGCTCATGGGTGTGTCGTGGTACTCGGGGTTCTTTGGTGCCAGTCTTGGTCTTGTTCTGTCTCAGCTGTCCACACACGTCTGCTTTCACTGAACTGGACTAAAGATGGAGGCGGCCTGGCCTGACCTCAGTTGCTCGTGCTCCATAAAAACTGTTTAAAGGGATGCCTTAATGTCATGATTTTACTGCATTTAGTTAGTTTTTAATCCTAAAGGATTTATTTGCTGTTGTGTACTTTTATCTTACTAAATTCAGTATCTCATTTAAAGTGAGGTACTTGAAGGATTAATGACTGATAGCAAAAGTAACCAATAATTTACAATGTGTTTTGGAAATAAAGCCAAGGAGTATTGTAACTAACGAAATGGAGCTCTTACATTACTCATTTCTTTTCGAAACCAAGGAGCATGGCAATATACAGTATACACTGATTAACCAAATAAAATCCAAACATAAAGGAATCCCTTTAAACTAAATTTTGATTTTGGATGCTTTGCTGTTGGGAAATTGGCGATGCTGTCAAATCTGGAAACCACCATCTTTAAAGGGAAGGTTCAGGACTTTACCTTCACCACTACATTTACATTTCTTATGTGACACACAGTGCAGGAACGAAACATGGACATTGTACAGCGGACAGACCAGCATGTTGTTAAATTCAAGGTCAGAGAAGAAATGAAAAGCAGGAAATATTGGAAACTCAGAGCATTATGATCAATAAATGTGGTTGTTCAGGCAAAGATAGTTTAAAGTGACCACAGGTCAGTGCCATGCTGACATGAATACTGTAGATGACCTTAGATGAACTCAAGATTTTAAGGGTTTAACCTTTTTTTGCAATGCTAGTGCCAGTGAGTAGGGGTGCATATTGTATTGGAAATTTAATATTTGAGAATAACAAGCCAGTAAGTTTATTTTGAGTTTAAAATCACACAGTGTCAAAACACTTGACAATCAAAAAGAAAGAGGACGATAACAGAAAGAGGAGATAATATCAGTGGGGTTTGGCTCTTTTAGTGGGAGAGGTAAAGAGGTACATAGATTGCTTATGAAAATAAATCGAAAATCTTACAACAATATATCAGCTGCTTATGTCAAAAACATGTAGTAAGCGTAAACAGGAAACCAATAGTAAGTAAGTAATAGTTTTAAAGAAAGTATAATTTCCTACGCACTGTTTATTCAAGGAGAACATTTCAGTTGTGGTCAATAACCTCACATCCTGCAACTTCCCTCTGAGTGTGTGGTCCATTGTGTGTATGTGTGTGTGTGTGTGTGTGTGTGCGCGTGCACGTGTGTGTGCGTGTGCGCGTGTGTGCGTGCGTGCGTGCGTGTCTGTTGCTGTCTCACTGGTCTCTGAGCTTGCCACTGTCTTGCCAGCCTCCACCTGAAGTGAGTAATGTTTGGTCAGTGGGATTTGTTGTGTATGGTTAAGGGATTCAGTATCTCCTAATAGAAGATTATGTTACTTTGACTTTTCCAATGAGCAAACACTGGACATCAGAGTGGGTCAGTGAAAACACAGCTCATCTGTTAGTCTTACTGTATCTCCCTCTTGACTTTGGCTCTTTGTCTCCTACTTTTTTCAAACCGTTCTTTTATCCAGGAAAGGGTTTCTGAGGACACTCACTGGTTTTTAGTCATACGTCAAATTCCTCCAGTTAGAGAAATACTACCCCAAAAATCGATCTTTTAAATTAGCAAATACTCGCGTATTCCTGCAGAATGATCTGCACCTCATAGTCCTGCCAGAAGTAGCATATTTAGCAATTTATTGGCAAAATGAGGATTGCTTGGATCATACTGAAGATGTGGATCGACAGTGAAGGAGTGGATTATGCTGCAAGAGTACGGTACAAACTTTCAGACCAGCTTACATTATTTCTTACCAAGAGTGAGATGAGAAGATGAATATGAACGTTTTAAATGTGGAGTCATGACGTCTTCAGCCTAGTTTAGATTACAGACTACAGCTTTAAACAGCGATTCCGGCTCTGTCTAAAGCGTCTAAAGCTGCAGCATTCACACACTGTATCTTCTTCCTGTGACTCGTACATAGACAGAAATGTAACAAAGACTATCTGGTTTTATTGGAGCTTTTTTATTTTTCTTCCACACTATTTAACAGCTGGGTGGAGAGGCTGTGCCCAGCTCCCCAAATCTTGTTGTTACAGTGTGGTTGCGTATGGATTCACTTTACCTGCTTCCAAGGAGCATGGAGAAAAACTCAAAACTGTAACTGTCAAAACTCCAGCTACACTTAAAATACATTTTATTATGTAGGATGATTGTGATGAAAACCACAAGCCAAAACATGGTGGTGTGGAGTGAGGTTGCCAGGTTTGGTACTATCATGGCAAAACCTGTATTTGGAAACACGTGCTATCACTGAAACCACTGTATAGCAGGACTGGACAGATAGATCGACCATTGTTTGTTAAGAAATACAACAGTTACATCATGTTTTAACATATTTCTGTGCATATATGGGTTAGACAAAAAGCGTTTAAATATGAGGTTCTGTAGGTGTAATTTAGCACTTTGAACAGAGCCAGCTCAGCTGCTTCCCCAGTCTTTATGCTAAGCTAAGCTAAACATGCCCTGATTCCTCTATATTTGACTTTTTTCTTTGCCACCATCTTTTAAACTTAATTTGGGATTAATCATTTATATCTTACACAACACTGTAATAAATGAATTATTCAATTGTGGCTTATTTGAGTGGTTCCAAACCTTTTTTGTCTGATGTACCTGTTATATAACTATCAGATCAGCTCAAGCATCAATTCATAGACCCCACCCGATCATACTGTCTGTACTGTATAAACCTGCCTTAACAAAACACATGAGATTGTTTTGGATCTTCTCATCTCACCCTTGCAAAGGAGCGAAAAAGCACATTTCCCAAAATTTTGAACTACTCCTTTAATGTCTCTGACCACTAGGAGCTCTCTCTTCCTTTTTCCCCCGGCTCCCCTCTCACTCATATTTCTTCCTTAGACAACCCCCCCCCCCCCCCCCACTGTTGCTGACATACTGTCTCTCTCTCGAGGGTCAGTCAATGACCTCATCAGTCTGTGACCTCCACTGTCCAAGGACATGATGTCACTGTCTTCAAACACACACACACAGAAGCTCAGCAGCCCTTGACAGCTGTCTGAGCATCTGACCAACTCTTTCAGCCTATTTAACCTTTGACCTCTACCATTGGTCACTGTTCAGGGACGGAGGGAGGTGGGGGGCACCCTGCAGTAAATAGAGACACTCAGCACTTTGAACAGTCACAAGTGTATACAGATTCCAGATGCAACGTCTGGAGCTGAAAATAGAAAAGTAAACAAATGTGAATTTTTTAAAAAAAAAAGTCAAGTATTTGACTGAAGATCCCAAAGACCAAACATTTTCTGGTGTGTGCAGTCGGGTGTCTGGTTCTGCGCCTCGGTGGCTGTGGGTTTGCATTTTGTGCCTGTTTGGGTGTCTTTGGTTTTTGGTCGTGTGGAATGTCTAGTGACGGGGTGGCATGCTGGTCATTGAACACAAAATCAATCGGGTGCTCTAACGACATAAATCATGATTAAGACACGGGTAAGTAACAGGAGAGCCTCAACTGGATGCACATAACTTTTAACTGGATCCATGAGGGATCTGTTAAAAAGCTCCATGTGCATGTGTGAGTCAGCTGGGCTGCTGGCTTCAGGAGTAAGCCTGCACCAGGAGTGTTGCAACTGGCATAAAATAACAATTTCAAATTCTGATGTGAGAAGAACAGATTGTTTCTTAATCATCCCTTTACTGAACTTTTTTTTTTCTTAATACCAATAGCTAAGGTTTTGGTTTTTGACCAAAGTATTCCCCTCGCAACTGATCTCTTTATTTTCTCAACTTCCTTCAACGTATCACATTGTGCTGCTTGGCGCTGAGGTCAAACATACCCGGCAATTTGAAAACCGGCTTTTCCCGGGTCTCGCCGTAGCTCGAGAAGCCTCAAAACCCCCTTTTGTTGCAATTGGAGAAGCCCGCTGGAGAAGTACGCCTCTTGTTGGCTCTGCAGCTCCTGACAAGTTCTGAGCCAAAGGAAAACAATGGAGCAGCAGATTCGGAGTGTTGGATGTTCAAGTGTAGAACAGGCAGATCCAGTGTGGATTATGGGTTCCTGTGTCTTCTCTCGCTGGCCGGTCCCTCTGGTATGTGCTAATTACAGCCTGAGAGAGGCTCGCTGCCGGAGCAGAGACATGCTGACCCGAGCGGAGGGCTTGAGGAGACACACACACACACACACACACACACACACACAAATACAGTCAACGTACAAGCACACATCCTCGCTCTCTAACCCCTTATTTAACACAGGCGCTCACTCATTTAGTATCTCATTCATGGCAACACTCATTCATTCATAAGCTCACAAACGACCACTGTATGATATCAGTGTCTCACAGTCTCCTGGGTACACAGTGTTGGCTTGGCAGGGATTCCCCCAGAAAATGTGTTAACAGAGGTGGTTTCCATCTGTTTAACTGAAATAACCCCTGAAGATTTTTAGTTTTTCCTGACTTTACAACATGCTGCTTTAATTAATTACTTCAAAGCAATTCGATTGGATTGATTAATGATCGTCATCTGCTGAGCTGAGTCAGACGATCGTGACGATGTCTTGTCGCCTGTGATCAATTTAGTGTCTACACGGTGGTCTAAACAATGATCCAACTAATTAAATATGTGACCTTTGCTATGAGACGTAGCCCGCGGATCTTCCTGCTGAAGATGAACCAACAACTTGGATTTTAGATTCGTCTTGACAAAATCCATAAAGACTTTCAACTCGACTTTGACTTTAGCACCAATGACTCATGACTTCACTTCAACATTCTCCCCAAGCCCAACAATTGAAACCGATGTTATAAACAAAGGAAGGACAATCCACTACTCTCCTGTTTCTTGAATCAATCCAACAGACCTTTTAGAAAAGCAACTGGACTGGTTGCTTGAGGTTGTTGAAGACGTTTCACCTTCATGTTTATTCAGAAGCCTTTCGGATGAGAGGTGAATCGTCTTCAAGAACCTCAGGCGACCTCAAGTCCAGTTGTGTTTGTGAAGCTCTAAGAGATATCATGACCTGGATGACTGAGAATCTTCACAGACAATCTGACAGCAGCCAGTCACATCTCATGAGCAGAAAGGAAACAGGAACAGCACTTTATAAGAGGAATATCAAGAGTTATATTGCGATATACGATAATATCGCATAATATACGATGTTATAGAGTTTTGAGAGGGTCTCAAATTAGTTTTAGTTTTATTTCTGTTAAAATTAAAATGGCATTCAATCTGGTGAAAGGTCCATGTTGACTTGTTTAAGACTTGAAACGCAACATTTAGGAATTGACTTGTGAGTAGACATGTCATATTCAAGACTTACTTTTAACCTGCAAAGCAATGACTGTGTCCTGCCTCTGATTTATAATCGATGTTATATTTTATAAATAAATTTCATTATCAGATGTTATAATTTCCTCTGACGTTAATGGTGCCAGATTTTATCTCAGACACGGTGGCCCACTTCGTATATTGACCAGTTATACGTGTGAAACCCTGCTTAGTCAAACACGTGTCGGTACTCATCAAACAAGTTGTAGTGAAGTTGGTGTGTTACATATCCATTACAAAATCCTCTGCGATGCTGATGTCTCTCTCTCTCTCTCTCTCTGTCTTTCTCTCTTCTTCTTCTTCTGTCTTTCTTTGTTTCCACCTGACACCAGCAGGACTGCTTCACAGTGGAGGGAGAGGATCTGAAACACGACTTTGAGCGGCTGCAGCTGGCCATGGAGATGGTCGGCTTCCTGCCTGCCACACGCAAACAGTAAGATGAGCTACGAGATGCAAACGGTGCCTTTATATAAATGATTGCAGAACCTGTGCAGAAATCCTATCTCGTTACATCTCTTTGTTAATGTATTACCAGCTCAGCAGATGCGGTTACATAGACAGTAACATAAGGAAACTAACTCTGCAATTATTCCTGCTCATCTGATGGTGTTGCAGCTAGGCTTGGGCGATATCCAAAATTTGATATCTTGATACAGTCCAAATATGATATTCAATATTAATATCATTGTATGTTATGTTTCAGGTATAAGTGATGCTGCCAATAAACAGCAGTTCGAAGTTCTATTTGTCACATGCCAAGGTACAATGTACTGTAAGCAAAGACTCGGCAGCAAGGCAGACTGTGCAAATAAAAAATTATGAAAAATATTGCACATAGTGGGAAATATCGCAATATTATGGAATATCAAGCCGAGCCTTCTCGGGCGGATTTCTCACAGACTCTTGCGCCGTATTGCACGTCTAGTTTAGTTCTTATTGTCTCGTTTCCAGATTGAAATCTTTACAGTGTTGTTTGTAAGGGGATGAACAGATCCTCTGAGGTCGTAGTTAAACTCTTTGGAGATAAACATGCGTGAGTCGGGAAGTGAAACTGTTTTTATCAAGTGTGTAAAGTCAGATTCTTGGCAATGCAGAGCTTCCATCAAATGTAGATTTACAATTCTGTTCACTCTCTCATTCTCCACTACAAGAAGTATTTTAAGAGAAATAATTTACGTGATAATTTATGGATTTTTTCGCTGTAAGTTTGGTGTAATAAAGAGACCATCCACTCCCTGACTTTCCATTCATTGTAAACCCTGCTCAGTGAGACAGTGGGTCAGTTTGCACAAAACAATATAAATGTGGTAACAATACGTGTCTTTGTTCCTCGACAGGATTTTCTCCCTGCTGTCGGCGATCCTCCACCTGGGAAACATCCGCTACAAGAAGAAGACCTACAGGGACGATTCAATCGACATCTGCAACCCAGAGGTGCTGCCCATCGTCTCAGAGCTGCTGGAGGTGAGAGTGTGATACAACCTTTTCACCAACACTGACTCAACAGCACGAAAGCTCAAGAATGGAGCATTAAAGCAGCCACAATCTACATGTTTTATGGAATTAAGTGCATCAAAAACTATTTTGTACAAGATCATTTCATTCTAATTATAATCTGGTTTTCATCTGAAAATAGATCCGCATTGACATGTTTGAGTCAAAAAGTACAGTTCGTTTTGTCTCACTGACTTTATGCTGTAATGCAATACTCTAAATACTTTGAAGGATAATAAAAATGAAGAATGGGAACAGGGCTTTACCACAGGGCTTGTTTATTCTCCCTAAAGCCTTTCTTTGCCATTTTGTCTCCCTAAGTTCTTCCATTACATGCCCACCCGAGATACCTAAAACTCTCTGGACTTGGTGAACTTTAAAAAACAAGTAGTGTCCATTTAAGCAAAGTTTTCTCTCTGCTCTGTATTCTGTGAGTTTTCCTCCCATATGAGGTTTTTACAGAAAGGCTTTTAGAGAAGAAGCTGAGGGCTCTCTGCATACAAGCACAGCTTGTGGTGACAGCGGAAGTTAAGAGGTGCTTCAGGTCCCAGAGAGCCGTCCAACCATCCAGTACTTCCACAAAGTACTGTTTGTATAGAGGCTATTTTCAGAGCTCTCGTGCTAGCTGCTGTTGCGTAGGCGAGCTTTCCCATCAGACAGCAACTTGTTGTTCTCCCAGTATCACCTGCATCATTACATCATATTTGAATTATTATAGACACACAACAGACATACAAATCCCAGCAATGTTTTTTTTTTTGTAATTCTTTTTTCATGACTTGCTTTTGTTTCCTTAATTTTGAGGTGAAATGTTTTTGTAATTTAATGTTTTTTTTGGTAGAGTGCTACAGATTTGTGGCTCCTGCGTCACATCTGTGGTTGGTTCAGAACTTGTCTGAATAATTGCAAGCAGATTAGTTAGTGGCAGCACTTTGTCTCTGTAAATAAAGTTCAAATGTATTTCAGCCGACCGCTCACCGACCCGATTTTTTAGTTTTATAACCAAAAGGTAAAAGTGCTTGAGACTATTCATAGACTACAGAATCGAAGCATTGTGCACAGTCTCATGTTTGTTCATTGTTCCTCTTTTTCCTATTTAGATATATTTTACCATTGTATTTTAACAACCTCACTTCTGTTTTAACTCTGCACGAACGAAAACTGAAAAGTAGTTCTCACAAACACTCACGAAGGAAACACTGAGATCATTTACTCCAGGGAAACTGGTTTTACTTCCATGTAAAACCGTTGCAATACAAGTTCACATCCTGCATTTTTAATTTTCTTTTCACTTATCCTAAGTAGAAAGAAGTGTTGTCATCAAACTGTTCTTCAAGAGTCAAAAGTAGAATTACTCATTAGGTGGCAGAATGACCCCTATACAATATTTATGGTTTACTATTATGTAATAATGTGTCAGCAGTCTTTTAATGTTGTGACTGCTTTATTATTGGGTACAGTAGTTTAAGATACAAAATTATGTTTTATCTGTAAAATCTTAATGTTCAAAGTAACTAGTAAATGCTATGAAGTTAGAAGTACAATATTTAGTAGAAGTGTAAAGTATCAGAAAATGGAAATATTCCAGTAAAGTGCAGCTGCTGTAAAATTGTTATTTAAATCCAGTATTGTGAGTAAATGCACTTAGTTACTTAGGAAGGTTTGATCTGTACAGACATTTTCCTGACCACAATCTAGTCAACAACTGAAGTACCCAACGTACAGTTATCAGTCTGAAGCTGTATCACAGAAACTTTCTAACCTGCAGACCCTATCTTAAGTGTTTGGTAACCATGGTAACTGGGGTTAGGACCGGATTTGGGAAAAAAGCCATAATAGATTAACAATTCCTGAGTGCATGTTCCTATCCTAATTGAAGACAAGAAGTGCTTCACACAAGCTTTCAAACTTCCCCAAATCTTAAATAAACTCTCCTCACTTTAGCATAATTGTTAATCTGTCCTCACTTTCACTTTTCCACCACTTAGTAAACTTATTTTATCCATATGGCTGCTCTTTTATTGCTTTTACACAACCAATAAAATGTCAACAGGAACAATTTATTTATTCAGAGGCTTATGACAAAACGCTTGTTGGTAGATACAGGCAGATCCTGCCGAGCCGCGACGACCAGCTTCGGAGAGGCCGACCCGGAGACATTGGGCTCTCCCGGTTGTGATGCAACTGACAAATGCACTTTGTTTTTTTCTTTTTTGCTAATGGATATTCTTCAAGTGAAGTGACCTTTTTTTTTTTTTTTTTTGAATCTAAGGGGTTACAACAGTACATCAGAGATAAGACAGGATTCCTAAAGTTAGTTGCTTCTGTAATATCTGTATATCTGTGTTGGAAAAATGTTACTTTATTTGTCTTAACTAAAGACTTAAGATAGGAAGGTTCTGTAAAACAGCCTTTGGTCTGTGGGTTCAGACTCTTTATTGTCCACATGACAAAGAGACACATGGAAAAACATGGAAAAACGTCCCACACAGCGTTTATAACTTTATAGTGTTTAGCTGACTTTGGGCTCATTCTTGACACTAAGTATAGACCACACACACACACACACACACACACATCGGAGCACATTGTGAGGACAGCTCAAACATCCACATGCTGTTCTGATTTACCTCAGGACTGAGCGATGGTGTCACTTCCCAGTCCCTGTTACAAACTGCAGCGATTAGCCGGATGTGCTTGTTGAGTCGCTGACAAAACAATGTCTGAAGTGTGCCGGAGACTCCTGTCAACAGCACAGCAGGGATGTTATGGCTGTGGAGACCCTGCCAGGGTTCCCCCCTTTAACATCCAGACTGGTCTCTCTGACTCCGCAGAGGTCCAGAGTGGCAGTGACGTGAGCTCAGCCACATGCTGGCCACATGGTCAGGGGGCTTGGTGTTTTAAGTTCAAGTTTATTTGGATGTCTGTTAGTTGGTGCAGAGGCAGCGGTTACTTGTCCTGAGGGACGTATAAAACATTCTTACAGTGAAGAAGAAGAAAGAAAGGGAACTAGAATACAGCTTCATGAAAGAGTCACAATTAAACAGCATTTTGAAGGAATTTTACCTCTTTAATTTGGAAACATTCCTGGTGAAACTTGTTTTGTTTTTTTGGGATGAGAAAGGGTAATGGTAAAACTGTTATATGATGTGATGCGGGTGTGTTGGGGAAATATCTGTTGGTTTTTATTAGTTTCATGAAGTGTCTTGATGAAAAAAATATAATATTTTGACACGTGAAATTAACGGATAAGGTGAGAATTAAGTTCAAGTTTACAAATTGTAATTTGTAATTGTAATTGTAACTTGATAAAAGGCTTGTACAGTATTTACTGTGATTTACACTTGACGTGCCTTTGAATTACTTTTAAATTTTAATTTGCTGGATTCTTGGATTACAGATAGATGCAAAGACCAGACACTCGTGTTTTATAGATGATGTATGACTCTATTTTAAAACCCCTTTGCATAAGCGAGACTGGCGAAATGGCTAAAATACAGCAGGTTGTTGAGGTTAGCTAAATGTAGTTTTGTGTGAGTCATGCGCGGCTGGAACCGCTTCGAGGGAAAGCTCAGCCAAAGTGCATGCACGCCGGCTTTATGGAGGTCGTAATTTGCATGAAACGCCCAGTTGCTGGAGTCGGTCTGTGATTCACATTTAACATGTAAAATGGTTCAGACAGGATGAGATGTGAACCGCCGCTCTCACTGCCACTGTGGCAAACCAACGCGAAGCACCTCTCGAGGAGAACTGATTGGCACGAGTGTGGATTGATGCATGAATAGGAACGAAACTGGCCGGGACCTCCTGTTTCCTGTGGAGGTGGAACTGGAAGAGGAAGTAGAGCTCATAGGGGCTGATGGACGGCTGACAGACTGCATCCTCCGAGCCGTGGAGCTGAGTGATTTGACCTAACCAGAAACATTCCTGCGCAGAATGGACACCAGTCCAGAGAGAGACGCGCGAATCCCAGTAAAGCGCTGAATTCGTTGATGGTATTTTAATGCTGAAAACACACCAGATCAGACCAGACCAAAAGTTTTGTTCATTCACCACAACCCGACATACAGTGGGCCGATGCATTGTGATAAATTCCTGTCAGGTTTTTGTTTCATTTCCCTCATCAGTGAACAGGAAATAATCAGGAAATGGTGGAAAATATGTTGTTAAAGGTAATTAAATATCCTGTGCCATAGTGAACAAGCACAGTATTTTTATTCCTCACACAGTAAAACAGCCATCAGTCAGTGTTATAAGACTTTGTTCCAATTAAACTCTTGTATAATAGTGTTTAACAGTGTTTATTTCGCAAACTGTTTTGCTTGCTAGGTAGCAATGAGTGAGAAACAGTAGCACAAGCATGATGACCTGAACACTCGCAAGTTGTAAACATGGCAGTCTTTCCCATCATTACCTTCTCTTTCACATGGCATGAATGCAGCATAAATGCAGATATTAACAGTTTTTTTCTTTTCTACAATAGTATTTAATGTCAAATTTATCGGTTCCCATAGTCTCTTTTATTTTTTATTTATTTAGGAGCAAAGTTCTGCTTTGTTCATTATTGAATATAAAAAACCAGTTGGTGATTGACACTGACAACTGAATATGAAGTGTGGCAGTGAGTGACTATTGTTTTAAAATGAATGTTTCTTTTGAACAGATGTACAGTAGGCGTCCTTGGCGATGCTACTGACATTGAGGTGACTGTGAGACTAATTATTCACAGCTTAATCCATTAATGACATTTAACTAGATGTGTTCTAGGATTTGGAAATCAACCCTGCAGGATACAGAGTGTCTTTGTAGTTTGTAACATATAGTGTAAATCCCAGCACTAGACAGGAAAGATGGTCGGGGTCGTCTGAGTGTGTGTCTGAGTGTGTGTTAAGATGTGATTGTGATAAAAGTCGGTCAGCTCTGATGTGGTTTTGCCTGCACAAATAATAGAAGAAAAAGGATTTGCTAACATGGAATCCGACTTGAGGTCTCCATGTCGCCGTACAAAGAAAAAGTTAATATATGAGCGGAATCACTGACCCTAAACCCACATTTAAAAATGTGTGTGTATTATGGTATTAGAGCTGTGATCATAGACAGAGCAGTGAGCCTGTTACCAAGCGACTAATACATGAAAATGTACCGGCTAAAGACCAATCACCAGGCTGCAGAATAGGCTTTGCTCTTAGTGGAGGGATTAGCAGGCAGTGTGAAATGAAGTCTGATTATGCCACCACCACCACCACCCCCCACACCAACCCACTAACTACACACACACACACACACACACACACATACACATACACACGCGCGCGCGGCCCTCCTCCTTTCCTGCCCTCAGTGTTTATGTCAAAGCCTCAACAAAGTCGGCAACTGACAAATATAGGTCCATAATGGTATTAACTATGACATTAACACCCATGCCTTTTATATGTGAAGACATCAGGCAATCACACAAAGACATGCCCCCACATGTATTCACACACACTCGCAGTCACGTGGTCTTGGCAGCAGCTGTTTGGCCCACTCCCATAATCCCTGTAGATGGAGGAGATGTGTGCGGTGACATCTGCTTCTCCCACTGTGGCCCTGTCATCAATGGATTGTCTGGGGCCAAGTTTAGAGTCTGCGCGAACTCACATGCAAGGCCACATAGTATTGTACAGTCTGTGTGAGAGCTGTTTGTGTGTGTGTGTGTGTGTGTGTGTGTGTGTGTGTGTGTGTGTGTGTGTGTGTGTGTGAGTGTGTATCTATCCTCAGAGCTGCTAATCTTGGCCAGCTATATTCGTCAGACGCAGCAGGGATATTATGAGCTTCAGTTTAGTAGAATGAAGGGTCAGTGAGGGAGGGCTGTTGTGGATTAAATTGTATCACTATGGTAATGTATATCATGATATAGTATATTTTTTAAGTCATCTTATAGATAAAATAAATAAATGGGCTGTCTGTTTTTAATATACAAAAATCCAGTTAATCCAGTATTGTGAACATAAGGCAGTCCGACTCTCTTATTTCCAACATTACTTACAATCGCCTTAATCAATCTACACTATTAAAGCTCCATATTTTACACTTTTCCTGTGTTTTATTTGAAGTGATGATCCATTAGAAGATATATTTGTGGTTTTCAGAGCCAAAAACCATCTCAATGTAGTTTTTCATCTCCTCTCTCAGGCTTCTCTCTGGAGCTCTAGTAACAACAGGTCAGTGAGCCAATCAGAATAGAGGAGGCTCTGAGCCTGTCTTCTGATTGGCTGACTGTTGAGTAATCAAATAAAAATATAGCAGTGCATTTCTCTGTGGACTAAGTGCTTTGATACTTTCACAGTGTTAATGTAGAACCTTGACCTGCTTTATAATCAGAAAAAACATGGAAATCTACTTTAATACAACATGAGACCTTTAAAGGAACAGGTACTTCTCCCTGCATAAATGCTTTAGTAACTCCCTACATATATCATCCAGTGATATGTATTACTATATCGCCCAAAGCAAACTTCAGTCATTGTGGAATGCAAACTGACTAATATTCAATAGTTTCACACTGATGGCATAAGAGGTTTTATTTTCTCCTTGCAGAGCTCCCTCTATTGCAAGATATTTGTTATACAGCCATTTTAACAAGTAGAGCAGTAGAAAATAGACCTTTAATGTTTCCATACAATTGGTGCAGGGTCCCTTTAATAGAGTTCAGAGTCAAAATCCAAAGCACACTTCTAGTAAAATATTATTTTCCTGTGATAAACTGTTGTAATTATGTTTTGGTCAGAAGTTGGACTCAGATAGACACTGATAGATTTTCAGCGTCTTCGGCAGGGCGGACGTTTACTGTTACAAGAGTTCAGGCCTCTGGTAGAAGTGTATGGTCTTCCTGTAAATGTCAAAGAGCTTAAAGGGGAATTCCACTGATTTTACACTGGTTTTAGGGATTAGTTTACTGGTCATGTGGACTACTATTCAGTCTCTGAAAACAGTCGTATAATGTGTTCTGTGGCTCTGGAAAAATAACTTCTGATTACAAAACTAGGGTCCTCTCAACTTCTGCTTAGAGACTATGGTTCTGACAAGCAGGGGGGGATGGAGTTTGAAGGACATGGACAGGCAATGGATAGGCAGGAAAGGTGTAACTGAATGTATTAAGGGAAATGTTGGATCCAGAACTAAAATTCAGGATATTTAGTCTCTGCTGCTTTAGTTTTGATATTTCTTGTCTCTTGTAAGTGCCGCAGCTCCATGGAACTGCATATTAAATTGCTTTGATAACCTGTTTGATAAAATAACCCCCCTACAGGGCATCCTTGTGTCCAGTGGTCACTTACAGCACCACATAACTGTTGTGCCCCAGTACAAATCTGTCCGGGAACTGGACCATTGCTGCATGTTATACCTTGTCTCTCCTCATGAATCCAGTCACACTGTCAAAACAAAAGCATAACAAGTCACATTAAACTACACATCCCTCCAACAGCATGTAAGAGCTGCTGGTGACATCACAGACTCCTCCAGTTTAACACTGTGTCTCTGTGTGCAGTTACCCTCATCCTGATCTTTCTGATCCGGATCCTTCTTGTCCTTGACCTTGTGTTTTTATTTTCTTTTTATCCAGGTGAAAGAGGAGATGCTGCTTGAAGCGCTGACGACCAGGAAAACTGTGACTGTCGGAGAGAAGCTCATCGTGCCCTACAAACTTGCTGAGGTGACCTTTTTAGTAACCACGCCATCCACACACCAACAAAATGTGACACCTACACACCTGAATCCCAAACACACAGACTTTATCTGATCTTCTAAAAGTGATGACCTTTTAGTGGTAAAACCCCCCCGTGAGCCTGTCAGGTCCAAAACCTAGAAGATGCTAAACGTCAAGGGACATTTTAAACATTTTTTTATAATTGTCTTCTCTGCTAATAATGGTCAGAAGGGCCTGTGTGTCATGGAGGTGGGGGTGGAGTAAATTCCAGTCTGTCTCAAGAAAGCATAGTGGAGCCGAATGTTTTGTTATGAAGTGCGTCAGCTGCGGGGGAGATTCTGTGTTTGTGTGTGTACATGCTTTGGAGCTTGTCTGGGGAGTTCGTTGTGGCACTCCCCCGGCCCCCACCTCTTCTGTCTGAGGCTCTTTTGATAGGGGTCTCTTCCTCTGCAACTTCCTGTTTCCTGTCGAGCCAAGCAACAGTGCGACATAATCCTGTCCATGCGGCCCTCTGGACTTACAGTCTGTGAAATCTAGCTTCAGGATGCCTCCACTGACCTAGATAGACTCCTATGATGTGTATCATAGTGTGTAGTATCATTAATATTCAGCAGCTTTCGTTTATCTCTCCGTCCCTGCAGCCTTTGATGGCTCTGTGCAGGATTGAATTCGGTCCAGCTCTCTCCGCTTGTGGCTGCAGGGTCTTTTGTCTGAGGAAGGAAATGCTACACATAGATAGTCTATTACTCCTCTTGGCTCCACCCCCCTCCATCTGATCTTTGGGTTAGTTTAGCCCAACAATGGTTGCTCCCGCTCTCCCACACCCCCATCCCTGCAGTCATGTGGTCTTGTCTCAGGAATGTGCAACCTCCACTGGAATATACAGTACAGAGGCCAGAAACCAGATCCTGGGTCTGTCTGTTTGTCTCTGCCTCTTTCGCTCTCTTTCTCCTTCAGTCACACACATATCAAACACATAAATTCACTTTTTCTAAACTGGCTCGGCAACAGAGGCTCAGACGGTGTGATCAGAAACCTAATCCTGGGCGGGGGGCCGCAGCTACGATAAACCCTGTCCTGCAGCTTCTGGTGTCATGCCATGGAAATTCTCCCCTGTCCTTAAAGATGAACATAGAATAGCATTAGAAGAAATCTGCAACAGTATCTTCAAAGAGAGGGAAATGACCTGTTACCACACTGCAGTATGTCTGTGCCTACATTAAAATACCCTGTAGAGTGTTTGACCACGAGCAGAGCAATGAAGCAATGCTTTAATGAGTGGGCTCAGTTTGTGTTTCTATCATGCAGGAAGTCATCACTTTTCTGCTTTTCTGCTAATTGACAGTTGGTGGTCACAATGCAGCAACAAACGTAGCAATACACTAACAAAGGTAGTGAGGAAGATGATACACAGATGGTATACAGTGTTGGGGAGGCTACTTTGAAAGCTTAGCTTTGCACGCTACTAATTACTTCACAATGGAAAAAGTTGAACTACAGCAAAGCTACCAGAGGGAGAAATCTAGTTCGGTCAACTAAAGCTGCTCACAAAGAGTTGTTCAAACTACTACTACTAAAAAGATCCATGTGATGTGAAATTATAACAAAATATAATACAAAAAAAAAGTCACATGCCAGTTTATTGCGCCAACTTGTTCACAGGTCACACATAAACCAAAAAATAAAATACCCCACTATCCATGGGAAAGTGCTATAAACAATAACCACTTAATCATGGCCATGATGACTCTTCCTCAGACCGAGATTAAGGAGGTTTATCCATGATGTTGCGGGTTGTTGCTGTTTGAGCAACGCCCCTTAGTTTTTGCACATGCACGACCCAAAGTGCGTGGTGTTGAGTGCCGGACACATGCATTGCCTGGTATGTCTTCACAGTGGCTGGGGCTGGTCAAAGGGGGTTCAGTTGCAGTAGAGGAGCAATGCTAAAATAAAAATGATATATCATTCCTTCTTTTTTATGGCCTAAAGTCATTTGTAGCTTCAGTAGTTAACTACACAGACATTATAAAAAAAAAAAAAAAAGTAATTGAACTAATTGAATCACAATGCACATTTGAAAGTAGTTGAACTACCAGCAAGATCCTGCAAAATGTATAAAATTGTATTTCATTACATGGAGTTTACATGTGTTTTTAATACCTTAAAGCCATTAGCCCCGAACTGAACAATCAACTGTAAGTCTAACCCCAAACTGTATCCTAACTACAACTCAACCCAATTCTAACCTTAAACCCTAAAACCAAGTCTCAGCCCTCAAACAACCTTTTGAAGAAGTGAAGTGAAGATCGGCCAACATGTCCTCACTTTCGAAAAATGTGAGAGCACACACACGCACATGTACACCACAAGAATAGCGAAAGCGAAGCCCTGCCCTGATCTGACCGAGGGCCATGGGAGCGAGCTGAGGCCACCTGTGGAATCCATAACACGCCTGTTTTTATACAAAGGAAATGTGGAAAAAAGAACCTGGCAAATGTTGCCAGGTTCTTCTCAGAAATGATTTCTTCCTACTTGGATGAGAAAGGCAGAGAAAACCTCGTCCACCCACCCACAGTCGAGATGGGGAGATTTGGATGAGGCGTCTGACCTGCTGATCTTGAGTGTGCTGCAAAGTAGACAGCCCCCCTGGATTCAGTGGATGGACCCTGGTTGAGTCAAGTGGGATAAATTTATGAGTAGCTCGGGTTTGGTTCCAGCATAATAGTGAGAATAAAAGTAAAAGTGATTCCTTGTTCATGAAGGGAAACTTTGCTTGGCGAGGAGGCCAGAATCTGGAGCTGAGCTTGCTACTGTCTGCGAGTGCTACCCAGGGAAACTAAAGAAGGGTTTTTTGTGGTTAAGTTACAATGTTGATTTTAGTTTTAATAATATTTTAGTTTTGAATCTGGCCTTTCATTCTTTTCACACCTCCCATAATTTTGTCCTTATGTTCTGCCTCTCACAGGCTCAATAAGTCATACACCAGGCTTCACACATGTTCTCAGATTGAAAATTATTTCTCTCTTTCTGATTAAAAGCAAAACAGGCCTCAAATCACACATTCATCACAGAAATGAATTGAAAAGGAGATTTTTAAGCAGTCATCTTGGTACAGAATGTATATTTGGGAAGGTGAACTTCTTTTGTGTTAAATAATCCATGTCCCAGTGCCAGAGAAAGAAGAAAATAGTACATTCACAAGTAAGGGAAAAAAAACCTTGACTGTAGATTGTATTCAGCCTGTGTGATTTAGAGTGAATAAAGAAAGAAATAATAACCACTCTTTGTTTCCCCACAAAATCTGAAAGAAGTGATGAAGTGACTTATATCAAGGCCACCACTTCCTTCTTCCTGTGTGAAAGACACACATGGGCAAGGTGAAGTGAGGGAGGGGGGGGAGTCACACCCTCATTCATGTGCTTTGCATTCATATAAAAGGTGAAGCTTCATATTATAAAACTGTTTCAAAGTGGTTGAAGCCTCGCAGGGAGGGTGTAGCGGTGCTGTCCCACTGCTGGGGCATTGTAAAATGTATCAGTTAACATATATAGATACACACACACACACACATACATACACACAGATAGACGAAAACAGCAACTACATAAATACTAATTAAAAACACATGCGGATTGGCATATTGTGGTGAAACACACACACAAAACATCCTGCAGCGAGGAAGCTAGCGGGCCACGTGCAGTGTGAGCTCATGCTGGTGTTTCACACCTCCTGTGGTTTTCAGGAGAAAGAAAGAGAGACAGAGATGGAAAGAAGAGAGAACAACAACTTCCCCTCAGCAGACCCTTGTAATCACAAACATAATCACAAGCTGAGAGCTGGTTTAACAGCCTGGACTATTACAGTTTACAAAAGTCTCTGATTAAGTCCTGCTAATTATTTTGTCAGTTTCTTGGGTGGCCCCGTAGAAAAACATTTTCAACCCATTCGCTTCCAGCCATGTCCCCTCCCAATTCCTAACTGGTCCCATTGTGGTGAATAATTGAATTACATGGCAAACACAGAGACAATGAATGCTCAGCGACCATGTCAAATGTTCGCATAAAATCTGCCAATCCCCCGAGTTTCCGCTGAAGCCTTTAAACCGTGATGCTTTTTGAAACGTTGTGTTATTCGTAACAAGCTTATATAACTTTGTGGGAAGAGGGACGTCACAGGCCTGCCTGCTAAAAATACCATAAACAATCAATAATGCAAGAGCGAAGAGGCAGCTTTTAAAATGCACAGTTTTGCTTCATCACGGCCGTTGGCTGCATGTGGCCTCAGCAGGCAGTTATTCAAACAGCCCTTCAAAGAGAGTGCATCCGCAGTGGGGCTTGATCAGGTTCACAGTGTCCCATAAAGGCCTCTGAAGGAGGAGGAATATTTTTTTTATTTATTGTTATGTAACCGATTTGAGACATTTTGTGTTTTTTTTTTTCAGTCGGTGTGCTCTTGTGGAGTGAGTCTGTGCGCCTGCTTTTATTTACTGTTTCGGGGATCTTCAGACCAACTTCCTGTGTTAACTTTCCTCCTTTATGTTGCTTCCATCTGAGCGAAGGTAGTAAAACAGTGTATATATGATATGTTGACTTTAATCTTTATTTAACCAGGCAAACCACAAACATAGAACATGTCTTAGTTACAGTGTAGGAAAAAATGTCAAATGTATTGGGCCCCTTTATAAGAGACAGCCAACCACACAATTACACTGAATTACTCAGAAAAATTACCTGAGCTGCCTCTTCATTATGTCATTCACACTTGTTGAGCTGTCTATATAGAAAGATGACACCCCCATTCCTAATCTTGCCTACTAAGATCTTATTGATTTCCATTACTGGTGGAAATGGCTGTTGATGGACATAGCAACAACTCACAGACAGGTTCCAAATTAAAGGAAAAACCAACATAAAGTGTCTTAATAAGGTGTTGGGCCACCATGTGCCACCAGAACAGCTTCAGTACTTCTTGGCATTGACTCTACAAGTCTCTGGACTCTACTGGAGGGATGAACACTATTTTTCTAAATGATATTCCCTCATTTGGTGTCTTGATGATGGTGGCTGAGAGCGTCAATCAAAAATCTCCCATAGGTGTTCAACTGGGTTGAGATCTGGTGACTGTGAAGACCACAGCATATGGTTCACATCATTTTCATATTCATTAAACCTTTCAGTGGCTCCTTGCACTCTATGAAGGGGGGAAATGTGATGTGATGTGAAACCAGTGTTACACTCTTTCCTGACATCCAGCTTGGCACGACTAAAACCAAAAACAATCTGTTATTGTCACTACTTTCTTGTATTTGATATAAAGAAATCCGTGCTCTTCATTAACCTGTGGTTAACTGGTTAACCAGTCAAGTGTTTGGTAAAAGAGTGAAATCCAAAGGTCCTTGTTAAAATTTTATTGGCTGCTTAGTGTTTCTAAAGAGCAGTGTGGTTTTCTGTTGTTTCTCTCACCAGAGGTTGACACACATAGTGTCCAGTTTCACCCTTCTCTATTCATTTTCTTTCTCTGCTAAATTAAATCTACTCTGATTGGATTACACAGAACATATGTCATTTAAAATGGGGGTCGCTGTTGTAATGGACAACTGGTTTAGGGTTCTTGGTGTGAAAATGTTTGACCCAGTTGAAGCAGATTTCTTTTGTCTTGTTCCACTCCCCAATTCAATCATAACACTTCCAGCTGCCAAAGAACGTGCTCCTGTGTCCAAGTCTCCATTTAAGTCTTCTTATGTTAGCTTAGCATGCCTTTCATCATGTCTAAGGAGAGCATAGTTGCTCTTTGGCTTGTTGAGACGTAATGGCTCGTCTTGGCAGTGTTGTTTTTTATGGATCAAAAAGTGATCCATAAAAAAGTTGTCCAAATAGTGATCTGCAGGTCTGGAGGCACTTAAGGCTCTGGCTCTGAAAACACCAAGTATTACAGCACCGCACACAGCACGACTACCAAACCAGGAACAGTAACTCAGAGTTGTGAGCAGTGTGGGAGCTTTAACACAGGCTCTAAATATAAAGTGGTTGCTGTTATATCCCTTTGGCATTTCCCATCTTTAAATTACAGTAGCACAGTCACTAGCAGACTCTTAGCATTGATGCCAGCTTATTTGAGCTAATAGGTATTGGTGTGCTAATGAATCTTCCTTGAGAGATTTATGCTAGCTGACTGTCTCATTTCAACAGCCTGCTGCAACAATTGTGTTGTTTGCATGTTAGCATTTGAGACAGCCACAAAAATGATAAGTATAATGTGGATTTATGGATCTTAGATCATTAGATTGTTATTTGGTTAGAGGGTTAGGATAGTTGTCATTATGCTAAAAATGAATCTAGAGCCAGCTGGCCATTAACTCATTTTAGCATTAAGGCTGGAAACAGGGGGAATGAGTTAGCCATCAATTTCTGTTTGTGTATGCAATAAACTAACAAGATATAATATTTTATTAAGTAAAATTTGATGTTATCAGCTTAAGGCTAGCTAACAAAGGCTAGCTGTCTCCACCTACTTCCAGTCTTTGTGCTAAGCGAGGCTAATCGTCTCCTAGCTTTAGCTTGTTATTTGGCATACAGATATGAGAGTCATATTGATCTTCACATCTAATAAAAGCAAATAAGCTAATTCCCAAAATGTCTGAGTACAATTATTTAGGTGAATTTCCCCAAGGGGATAAATAAAGTATCTATCTATCCATCTATCTATCTATCTATCCATCTATCTAGTCCTTAAAGATTTCACACGAACCAGTGTGAATCAAATTAGTCAATACAATATCGGAAAAAAAGAAGCATACAGGCTACCTCAGTTTCCCAGAGCATTCAAATGCTTGTTCTTTCTAACCAACAGTCCAAAACCCAAATATATTCAATTCAAAATCATTTAAAACAGCAACTTTGTCATTTTTCCTTATGGATCCAAATTATTGATCATCTCTCTGGTGATTTTGAACATAGTTTACCACAACATTTCTCACCCATCCATCTCCACTTTTCCTCATGGTTTCTAGATCTTTCTCCTCCTCTCAGTCAGTCCCGACAGATGACTCAGCTCCTGCCTGTGTGTGCAGTAGTTCATTAGACCTCTCGTCTGCCCACTTCACACGTTTAATATGACACTGATCCGGTTCCAGAGAAGCAAGAGGGAACATTAATGTTGTGTTTGTCTTCTTGCCCTGGCCTAATCTACTGCAGTTGGCAGGTGTTTGGATTTGATGTGGTGAAGTCGGCAGGTTTCTATCACATGCTACCTATAACGGTTATTAAAGTGGTAACCAGTAACAGTAGCCACAGTACAGGGTCACTTTGTGCTGCAGAAGAAGAAGAGTAGTACTGAAATGTTTTATTGGTTGCATAAGTGTTCCCACTTTAGCCTTTCAACACTTGTGGGTCGCCACTGAGAAATAAAAAATGGCTGAGCAGCAGAGGGGACTCTCTTCATTAAGGCTATGAGTGATAAAACACATTCAGAGTAGGTTTTAAACAATATTGGCTCCTGCTCCTGATTAAGAAATCCATATATTCATGATTAGGAATAAAGTGACATCCTCTGTGTGTGTGTTCTTGTGTTTAGGCGGGCACGGTGAGGGACTCCATGGCCAAGTCCCTGTATAGCGCGCTGTTTGACTGGATTGTGTTCAGGACCAACCACGCTCTGCTAAACAACAAGGATCTGGAGGACAGTTCAAAGGTAGGAATGAACACACTTAAAGACAGAAACCCATCCACAGTACTGCTGTTCACCAGAGGTAACAGTTCAGCTCAACATAAACACTGTACACAGACAGCATAGAAACAAATACACACTTAAAAAGTATCTATATGAAACAAAACAAAACGTGTATGTAAACAACATCATTGTTACTGTCATGGTAACATACAGTGTAATGTGCAATGCTCAGCAGTAGTATAGGAACGTATTGTTGTTATGTTGTGTCATTTGCTGTGTTTTAATGAACAGATGAGCCATAGACAGTTTTCTACAATTAAATTCTATTCTATTCTATTCTATTCTATTCTATTCTAGTTTAACGGCAGTTTTAACACTCATATATAAAGTGTTGAGGGGTTTCTATCTCAGTAGTGAAACATTAAAACAATCAAAAAAGGTAACAACATACATGCTGTATATCCAAAATGAAACTAAAGTCATAAAAAAACAACACATATATACAACAAGGGTATGTTGAGGTCTAGTCAGGAAGTAAAACACAGTTTTTCTAAATATTCAGGCAACTACTCTATACTACAACTTTTTCCTGCACCTCACTGCTTTCTTAAAATTACTTAACCCATTCAAAAACTGTGATTTCAATGATTTCCTCAAAAAATGCATTACATGTATGGATATGGATATGATGAATTCTGAATTGAGAGCTGTAATTAATAATATTGACAAGGGCTGCAGACCATATAGCTTTACTAGCCCTGCCACTATGTAAGCAGACTGACTGATTACACTTCAGTGGCACAGAGACATCATTAGTGATATTAGTAACACCTGTGCTTTTGCTATTATAACAACTCAAAATGTCTGCTGTGAAAAAAGGAAAATTAAAAAAAAAAATATTTATCTCCTAATTAAAATGCAGTCATTCTGCATTCATCCTGCCTTTGTCTTATTCATGCCTTTCCTTTGTTCTTTCTGTCTTTCCTCAATTTCATTTGTCTCATTCATGCTCCACATCCTGCTGCTGTCTGTCTGCCAACCACATCTGTCCGTGTGTCTGTCTGTCCGTCAGGAGTCAATTCGCTGTTTTCTGGCTTCTTTCACTCCAAAGGCAGGAAGTGGTGTGATATGAAATACCACTCTGTGTGTGTGTGTGTGTATTAATGTGTGTGTGTTTGTGTGTGTTGGAGTGGCAGCTGGCAAGTCATACCCAGTGGGGGCATCTAAAGGATTAGAAAACAGATCGTTTGTGTGTGTGTGTGTGTGTGTGTGTGTGCGTGTGTGCGTGTGTGCGTGTGTGCGTGTGTGTGTGTGTGTGTGTGTGTGCGCCAGGAACATTTGGGCAGATGGCATCAAGTTCCCCTCAGCTCAGTTTACCCCCTGTGGTCCTCTCCTGTCCCAGTGCAGTGTCTGCGTGTGTGTGTGTGTGTGTGTGTGTGTGTGTGTGTGTCTGTTTCTGTGTGTGTGTGTGTGTGTGGCTGTGTGTGTGTGTGTGTGTGTGTGTGTGTGTGTTGGCACTGACGTCATCTGTGTGTGTTTGTCGGGGGGTCGATGAGGTTGCACTTTCTGTCAAGGTCATTGTTTTTATGTGCAGATAACAGCCTCCACATGCACCGTGTGTTCATGTACTGTATGTTTTTTATGCCACAATTTAAAATTACCCTTTAGAAAGAAATAAAACACTGGTGGAATAAATTTAAATTAAATTGGATCCAGCTTTTACAGTCCATTTCATAATTAAAGGCCTTTTTTTTTGCCTCCGTCAGATGGTGCATATTAATGATATATGATGACATGAATCTTACTGACACCCAGAGGGCAACTGGGTCTCTGAAGCTGTAAAGGACGGGATATAAAAAGAAACACAATGAAAAATAAAGATGACGAAGAATCATAAATATTTACTGATGTATACAATGATGCATCTTTTTTTTTCCACGTTTTTCAGATCCAATAAATGTGTAAAATATAGATGAGAAAATGAGCTGTCTGTGTTTCTCCACCAGATCCTGTCCATAGGAGTCCTGGACATCTTTGGCTTTGAGGATTATGAGAACAACAGCTTTGAACAGTTCTGCATCAACTTCGCCAACGAACGACTCCAGCACTACTTCAACCAACACATCTTTAAATTAGAGCAGGTAGAGTGGTATTACTGTACCTCCTTACCTCTCCTTTCCTTTTCTCTCCTTATCTTTCCTCTTCTCTCCTTTCCTTTCCTTTCCTTTTTCTTTCCGTTCATTTCAGACAATGATTATTGTGCTGCTGCTGCTGATAACACATCGTTGCATTCTGTGTTTTACTTCCACTACGACGATGTTAACATTCATACGTGATCTGCTACGCTGTGTCTTGGTATGAGATGACGTCAGTTTATACATTGGCGTCACGTTATTATGGCTGCTACACATTCCTCAAAAATGCCTTTATGTTGTTGACTGATGTAGCTGATGGAGTAAAGAATGGGTGCTCCTAACTTTCCTTTCAAACGGAGGACTTTTGTAGTTTTTCTTCATACGTCATACTGGTGAAAACGAATGACTTCCTCTTCAGTAGAAAGCTCTGAATGTAGTACAATAGGGTTTACCACTGTAAGAGAGGAGCTGCTTTCGTAATGCTGCCTGTTTTCCAAGTTGTTTTTCACACATCCTGGTTATTCAATCCGATGTGTGTTGTTGCTTCTATAAGCATTTTCTTGTCCTTGCTATGCTTTGCTATGCTCGCTGAGCTTAACACGTTTCTAATAAAGGCTAAAGACGTGGCCTTTAAAGTTTTGGAAGTAAAGTAAGAAGAAAACTGGATTCACTGCCAACTCAGCTAAAATTAGATTGATAAATCAAAGGTATCGCAACATAGCTATAATTAAAAGAGTAAACATATTACTCCAAACAGGGCATTCGAAGATTAAATATGCTTGTTGATATTTGTCTACACGTTACCTCGTGTGCGCTGAAGTATCCAGGCTTCTTCCCTTCATCCCCTTCTGACGACCAGACATCATTTCATTCAAATGTTATTTCTGGAAATATAGCCTCAAAAGGTTTTATATTACATTACTGTTATACTTCCCAAGTACCTGAAGCACACTCTGATGTGGTATTTAAACAAACTGACTTGCTTGGCTTCTTAAAAACATTTCTTAGCCTTGGTGTGCTATCTGCAGAAAAGCTACCGAGTGCTTATGAGAATGAAGAAGGCTGTCTTTTTGCTTTTACTGTCAAAGTAAATTCGATATCTAGCCTCGTATCCAACATCCTTATATTTCCATCTGTCATATACAATAAGTCTACAATGTTCAGTGTATTGCAGGAATTACGTAGCTTAGTTATTAAGGGTTAAATATCAGCGCTTGGCTGTAAACTCCACACACCATGTAGAGGAAAAACACCTCACAACACACACAGCCTTTCTTCTTAAGCTCAGTAGCACCAAACTAACATTGTCAGACCTTTAGCGTCTGCAAGCAACCAGTCTTTGCAAGTTGAAAATTCCCTTGTCTAAGTGCTTTGTGCTGGATAGCCCCCCCCCCCGACATTACAGTGCAAGCAGCTGTAATTATGGAGCTAGGTTAAGTTAGCATGCAAATCCATTAAAGTAAAAGGTCAGGGGAAAGTGCTGAATGACCAGAACAAGCTGACAGGCTGGGTTAGAGTGCAGGAGTCAAACAGAGCTGGATGTTTTCTGACAGCTAAGTGCCACTAACAAGGTCAATACATTTAGTTTGGCAAAGAGCTTTCTTTAGGTTATTGTACATGTTTTTCTGACCAGGCTTGGTTTGTTTATGTTTTGTCTTTTCTCTGGATGCCTCTTTTTTTCATTTTATTTCATCATCATTCCTCAATCAGAGCTGTGCTGATCAGACGGACGTCAGCTCCAGCATCATAACCACCCTCCCTATCCCCTCTCTCTTCCACTCGGAAAGACCATTACTGAACCACTAACCCCTGACCAGCTATATTATGTATTCATTATACTCATTTATTCAGATATCAACTGCCAAACCACTTAATATTCTGTCTGTGTGTGTTTTATTTTTTTCACATCATATCCATAGAACAAGCAAGGGAGCACTGAGAGGGAAAGAAAAGAGAGAGGGAGACATTTGGGGGGAGATAATGAGTCTCAATCAGTCGGACTGTGTCACAGTAGCTGTCGGCTCTCGTCTGCTCCTTACTGAACCGCGATAGGTCGTGGCAACTTAGCAGGCGGGCCCATCGCTGAAGGCTAAACAAGGAGAGGAACAGAGTGAGGAAAAAAAGAGCAGTGTTTCAGTAAACCAGTGCAATAGCGTCCCTTCACCCTCGATGGAGATCACAGACCAATCGGCCCGCGCTAATGGTTCTGTTATCTGTTTCTGACAGTTAACCCTCAGGCCCTACACACACACACACACACACACACAAACACACACAGAGCAGGATGTAACATGTGCCAGAAAACAGGTTGTGTTACTGTAAATGAAAAATTGACAGTTAAGCACTCTGGGCCTTTAAGTTTAAATCTAGATTTTCCACTGCTGAAGCTGATGGTCATACCAGGACAAAGTTAAAATAAACTGCCATCAAACAGACAACGAAAAATACTTCAAATCAAAATATATACAGATCAACTAATGTAAGTTAGTATTCATACTGAAAATCAGTCCCAGAGACAGAAAATTATTTTTTCTATGCCGTTCTGGGTGCTTATTTATTTATTTCCTTTTAGCAAGGGCCACGTTTTAATTCATTTAACATGTCATTTAACATCCTTCCATCCTCATCAGCAAACATAGGAGGTAAATAGCCATAAAAAGCATATACTAAAACAAACATAAAACAACCGTATACTCCATAATACAATTTGTTGAAAAGTAGATGAAGGAGAAAAACAATTCAAGTATAAAACAGCATAAAAGCAGTTTTGGCTTGTCATGGACAGTGCTCATTGATCAACAGAAAGAAAGAGGTAGCAACCTAACAATGGAAAAAGCATATAGAAAAATTGCATGTATTACATATTATGTGACCAAGTAAAGGCAGGATGCATTTTACAGTTAGCAATAACTACAGTTAGCAATAACTATTCCTCACTATCATTGCATTTGTCATCACCAAATAAGTAAGAGTAAGTGCACATATTTATTTCTAAAGTTTCTTACCATCTAGGTAGAATCCAAAGAGAAGTATATTTGTAGATGGACAGATGTTGGTTTTGTGGAAGTCGCCTCGCATACTCTTATTTTAATGTGTTCAGAGACTGTTCCACTGTGTTTATAGGAGGAGTAACCACACTACTACTGTTATCAATAACTTTATTCAAACAGCTTTAACCTGAATCAAACACCCATGTTTCAGCTGATATCCTCATCGTGGGTTAGAAAACCACTTTATTTACATTGTCATCAACATATACAAGGTATCCAACAGGGTGTCATTTTTGTCTTGTTGATTTTTCTTTCGGTAACGCTTTATGGGTCCAATTTACTTTAAAATAATCTCCTAAGACATTTCCTGGAAAGAACCACATGATTTGTTACTAATTATTGGACAAATAGAGAGTGATCAGATGATACACGTCCAGTTATTTCTAAATGCTAAATGCTTCTAAATGAGTACAGCAGGTGAGCTACACATGCAACATGTGAAATGTATCCATAAACAAACAATTCAGCATAAACAAGAAGTTTCCAGTAACAAATGAATGAGTAATAAGGGTTTAAATTGAAAGATAATAAACTTTTTTTCAATGATATACATGTTTGCTGTCTCATCTATATTGACTGACAGTGATTACACATGAAACAGAGCTGACCTCTGTCTCAGTGTTTTCTTTATTAACTGCTGTAATGTACTCTTAAGTTGATTTTGAAAAAAAAAAACGGAGGAAAAAAAGGAAAAATAAAATAAAAGCTCTATTAAATCATCAAGTGTTTTGTCAACAGTTGCCTGCTGTTCTTTTCAAAGTATCATTAATAGTTTTATTTTAGTCGTCCTGTGACGGCAGGTGCTCCATATCTCTGTTTTGATTGAACCTTCCACTTGAAGGTTTGTTCCTGTGTTATGTTCAACTAATAAGTGTCAAAGTGCTGCTGAGACGCTCGCCCTCACAGTACCGGCCCAGTATTGTTTCAGCAGAGTTCACGTTTATTATCCTTTAATCACGGGGGTCCTCCAAACCTTTGGCTCTCTGCCGTCCCTGAGTTTATTTGACAGGACAACAGTTGAGGTGGACCCGAGCTGCGGGGCCCCTCTGAGGCCGGCTGGTATAGCTTCCTAATCGAGGGTTGCCAAATCTCTACTGATTTGTGTTTGTTTGAATAAAGCTGTGCAGTTCACGCTGCGGGCCCCCTTCTGCCCTCACTTTGACGTCATTAGGAGAGAAAGCTCTCCACACCTTGACTGCTGTATTGTATTGAGTCTTTAACTGCTGACCTCAGATCAGCCAGCGTCCAGTTACCTGATGAAGATACAGAGACTTTCCCAGCTTGCATGAGATTACCAGATAATCATGACGCTGTAGGTTTTAGCTTATGGTTCATCCTTGACCTTGAAATTAGCGGTTTACAAAACTCGAGGTCAAGCTCTTGACCTTGTTGGCTTAGTGATGAGAAATCCTGCAGTGGAAAGCTGAGATATCTGAGGCCACAGAAAGAAGTAATGCAATGTTTTCTGTAGGAGACCGCCGAAACGTGTCATCAGTTCAAAAATGAAAACATGTAATGAAGGTCTCCAGGACTCTGTAACTGTAAAATGTTTAGTGGAAAAAGTGTGTACCACTGCTCTTCATTAGTCTGTCATCCTGACTTTGAAAGGTGATTTAGGCTTTCCATCAGGGGGGTTTTCCTCTTCCTCTTCTTCTTCTTCCTCCAGTCTTTAACAGTTGGTCTTATCAGCAGTGTGTGTTTACCTTCAGAGCAGCATAAGAGCAGCTAAGTGAGAAAACACACGACAGCCACCGCCTTAGGCAAACACTGTATCACGTTTAACTCGTGAGATATCATACTGACTGAGTATAGAAATGAAAACATGTGGCCAGGTTTTCCTTCACCTGACAGAAGTGGACGACTCCTGTTATTGAGTTTATTGTAAGAGTCCAGCAGAAAGGTACCAGGGTAATCCCTAAATCGCGTTCCTCCTTCCTCAAGAGGAACTGCAGGACTTTGAATGGTCACACTAATAAAGCAGAAGTTAATTATTCATACATTGGAAAAGCAAAGTTGACATTTTGATACAGATTTTCCAGGTTCTCCGCCCTTATTCCAAATCATACAGGCCAGCTCACTCCTTGACGTCATATTTGTGAGTCATGCTGGTCGATCGAGTCCCAGTTTCACTCGACCGCTAAAAGCAAAACCCACTAACAGAGCATGTTGAATGACAACACAGCGTGCATGTCATCTGTGTCTTCGTCAGTTTCTACATCTCCTTCTCTCTGTGCTTTTAAAACCACCAGAACTTGCTCCAGCTCCCATGGTTGCACCGCAGCTCCTCCCGTCTGCTCAATAAAAACACTCCTCTGTCATAACAAGAGAGACAAGCGCTCGGGGAGAGAGGAATAGAAAGAAAGAAGGAATACAGAGATAGGAGGAGAGATTGAGAATTACACACAAACGCACACAACCTCCCTCACCTCGACACCGGGGCGTCGTGCCAAACACAATTCAGGCCAGTCAAATGCTGCACTGCGTTACGCAGCAGAGAACAGATACAGATTTGACTAATGGACAGAGGGATGGCCACAAATCCTGACCGACCGCAACAGAACTCCCTTGCTTTCCTCACAGCAGCAGGAAGTTTTAGGGCTTTTATTGCTCACAGATTGGTTTAAGTCTTGGCTTATTACATCTGTGTCTGTCTGTTTTATCCCCCAATATCTGTGATGTCTCTCCATCTGTCTTCTTAGTACACACTTTAAAGGGTCAATTCACCCAAATTACAAAAAGATGTACGATGCAGATAGGTTTGGATTTATTTGCTAAAGCCGCAAGATTTTTGCCTAAACTCCAACTTTATAGTGACTATTTCTCTGAAAACTGTGTGTTAAAGATCCCATATGGAATAAAGGTAGATGTCCATGTGTTGTTTGATTTTAAAGCAGGTCTAGGTTCTATATTAATACAGTGAAAGTATCAAAGCCTCAGTCCACAGAGAAATGCACACAGCCTGTATTCAGAAACTGAGCCTTAAAACCAGCCGTCAGGAGTTCTGGAACTTTGTGATGTCACAACAAAGCAGTCACCACTCTCAGTCATAACCCAAGCTCCGCCCACCTTTTTACTCAGTCTTCCAGTTTCTCAGTTTAGCTTTGACTCTGTCTTCGTTTTTGTGGTCTTGGGTGACAGGAGTGACGCCAGGCCGCCGGATCTGCTGCTGCCGCTGCTATCGGCTGTTCCCTTTTACAGGCAACTCAGACTTTGAAATGCTCCGAGTTATACAAACTCTGCTGTTGTTGTCTTACTTGTCTTACTCAGTGAACGATATCTAATTGTTTCAGCTCTAGTTCCGATGGTTGCAGCTAGCAAGACAAAAAAAAAAAAAAATCTCCTAAAGCAGCTGTTTCTTAGCTGCTGGACCCAGCATGTCTGACACTTAATGATGAAACTCAAAGTCTCTCAGCCGTTCTGCTGTTTCCTCAAACTGTAACTGAACCAGCATCTGTGCATGCTTCACATACTGAGTCACCGCTTTGTAGTCTGTTTGTAAATATGTGTATGCAATAAAATGGCTGATGAGTTTGCGCGCTTATCTCTTCATCTGTGTGTCTGCATCTAATTGGCTCTGTCTCTGAGTCAACACCCATGTTCACAAACCCTCGCACAGACACAACAAAGTCGGCCAGATGACCTGAGTCAGTCGTCGGTCAGCGCTCGGCTTGATGAGACTTAAACAAAAGCGGACACATGCAAACCTTTTTTTTTTTTTTTTTTCTCAACGGCTCTGTTTTCGTTTTGCTTGATCCGGTTCAACCTCTGAATGAAACCAAACATGCCACATGTTCTGGATGCCTTGACAGTTATTCAGCAGCCTAAAAAAAGGAGGGGAGGGCAGACGTGCCGCATATGTTCGAGTATGCTCCGGCGCTGTTTTGAATACTTCACCGCTGTCTCATTGTAGTAATTGTGTAGCATGTGTTCCAACTGATTGTGAAAAAGTTTTGCATGTTTTCCTTAATTACCATAATGCCAGTTCAAAAAACACATGCACACTCTCAAAGATACATGCAAAAGGGCACCAGCATGCAAATGTAGAGATGTTGCAACACCTACAAATAGTTGGATAGTTGGTAAATAGTTGGTTTGTACATAATAACAACATAACAATAAAACTATTTCATGCACACATAAACAATACACTCGCGCGCACACACACACACACACAGAGTTGTATCTACTGCTGGGTTTATTTTAGAGTTGGTACACATCATTACAGTTGTTTTGTGACTGCCTGAATCCTGGGGTACACTTTCATTTGTAAGAAGTGTCATCTTGTTTTTCTCACCTCTCCATACCTGGCCAACCTCAGCGTGGCAGGGGAGCTCTTGTCAGATTGTTTGTTTTGAAAAGCTGCAGAAATTGTCAGGTGCATTTCCCACTGTTCTGATATGAGAAAGGTCTGGAGGGCAGACTCTGGCAATAGCAAGACAATGACAAGAAGTTTGTCTGAGGCGCACTGACATCTTGAAGGATGGCGATGTAGTCGGCCATGAAGTTTCATGGTTCCCAGAGGATGATTCCTAGTGATTTGTTGACTCCTCCTGAGCTTTTGTGGTTTAGATGGAGATGATTATCCAAGCTTTTGATTCTTTTGCGTTTAGATTATCGTAACACTCTTTTAACAAGTCTGAATCAAACTTCTTTGAACCGTCTCCAAACTTTCCAAAATGCAGCTACACAGCTTCTAACCAGAGATAAGAGTTAGAAGTAAGAGATCACACATGACGACAGTTTTATCTTCCCTCCACTGGCTCCCAATCAAATTCCATATCCATTTAAAATACTGGCGCTCACTTTAAGAATCTTGCATGGTCAAGCACAACAATATATTGTTGACCTATTGAAAAAAAATTACTGGCTGTCCCTCAAACCTGTTATACAATCCAAGGTGGCTTCACTTTTGAAGCCGTGGCACCCAGACTATAGACTGCTCTCCCCCTCTCGATCTCGATCCATTGACTCCTGTGATGTCTTCTTGAAGCAGCTGAAACATTTTTATTCAGACAGGCTTTTGGTTGGTCTGTCTGAATACTTCCTCCATTTTATTTTATTGCTTTTTATGAATTGTTTAGATTTTTATTATCCTATATTTTCATCTTGAACTTTTGTTTATACTGTAAAGCATTTTGTCACTTTTTTTATCTGTAAAAGGTGCTATATAAATAAACTACTTACTTACTTTTCTTGAATTTGGAGGAGCCCTCTACAAGGTTTTAGAGAAGCCAAAGTGCACATCCTTAAAAAGCATTTCGAAACCCATTTGTTTTCTTTGTTTATAACTTCATTTTTTTTGTGGTTTACACACTATTGTCTTCTCTTTCTCCTCTTCTCTGTCCGTCTCCTTTCTCCGACTTCTTTCCCCCTTGAAGCTCTTTGTTACTTCTATTTTGCAAAGTAGCATCTGAATAAAGTTTGCTTTTCTCTTGACTTGCACCAATATCAGCTCAACATTTACCTTCAGAGACAGTTTAGTCCATGATTTGTTATATTGGAAAAAATGAATTCTGGCTGGATATCCATGAAATCTTCTGCAGACAGCCGTGATCCCCACAGGGTTATTCTGATAGTTTTTTGTAACCTCTTTGCTCCAGCGACCAACAGCACAAAATTCCCATTAGTATCAAAGACATATCTGCGTAAAAGGCCATGAAAATGCACTGAGCACATTCATGTTCCTCAGAGGAGTATTTTGTCAGCGTTCCACATAAAAGGCAGATTGCCATAACATTTTCTCAGCATACTGAAGCTTCCAAGAGGGATAAATCCATTTGTTTCCAATGACCCCAGTGCTTTTCATCTAACTACTGGCAAGGCTCTAAGAATAGCACAATTAGTACTATCTTATTGGGGGATGTCAGGAACATTGCAGCATCTAGGGATTGTCATAAACGCTTTAATCATTTTTGTTATTGATTTACCTGATACAAACCCCCTCCCACCTCCTTCTCTTATGTTTTTGTTCAGCCAGGTTCAGTTAATTGCTGGCGCTGACCCTGAAGAAGCAGAGTTGTATTTATTCAGAGGAAGGTTTGCTGAGTGTGCGTGCTCTGTTGCAGCAGTTACGACACACTGGGACCTGCAAAGCTACTGGAGCAGGAGCTGCCTGCATACCTTGCTCAAATGTGCCTCAACAGTAGCTTTCCAGTGAGAGGAGAACGCTCACCGTGTCCCACCCTTTCCACTTTTTTTTTTTTTTTTTTTTTTTTACAAACTTTCCATCCCAGTTGGCAGGGGTATGGTAACTGGGGTTTCTAACTAGTTTCTCCCATAGGGGTATTTAAGAGGACATGGGTCATATACCTCATTGTCATCATTGGCCCCCGGGGGCATATAGACGTTACCAACTGACTCTGGTTTTACTGGCAACCAACAAACAGCCCGGTGTTTTCAGAGCAGGGATGCAGGTTTTTAGTTCTGGGAAAATGTTGCCTGGGCTTTTTAGTCTGATGCCTTGAAGAGAATTCACAATTATTCAAGTATAGTAAATGCAGGGCGACCTGATAGCCGAATGGTTATGGCTCTGAATTTCCTTTCTGTCTCCTCTGGTCATGTCGAATAAAGGCATTGAAATGGCCAAAAAATAACTTAAGAAAAAAAAAAGTAGAATCAATTCTGTCCCTCTTAGTCATGTTGACAGCAGGTTTCTCACTTTAAAGTTGTAGACTTGAATCTATCCACTCTATCTGTATATCTCCTTCCTCTTGAGCAAGGCACCGCACCCCTGCCCTGTTCCTGTGTCACCGCTCAGTGTCAAACAGTAGATGTGTATGCGCATGTGAAAAGTGTTGAGTCAGTCACATTCAGGTAAAGGTTGAAAATAGTCAATAGGGTCAACACAGTGGTTTCTCCTCCGTCACAGCTTTAGCCGGACGTCTAATTCATTTGCGCTTCGTGTATTTACTCCTTCCTCTTGTGTTTCCCCCTGCAGGAGGAGTACAGGGCAGAGGGCATCACCTGGCACAACATCGACTACATCGACAACAGCGGCTGCATCAACCTCATCAGCAAGAAGCCCACAGCTCTGTTCCACCTGCTGGATGAGGAGTGCAAGTACGCCACCTGCTGAAATAACACTGATGCTTTAAGATGCAGCAGATACAGTAACTTAGAAAGAGAGTTGGGCGTTTCTGGTTAAGATGATATAACCACACATTTGTGCGCTCATGGAAACAGCAGTGACCTGGTTAACTTTAAGATAGAGGATATTTTGATATGGTGGCATACGGTTGCACTTAGGGATGTAGTAAAGGGTAAAACCATCTTAACATTTTGTTAATTACACTTTATTTACTTTTGTTAAACATTTTTCCAGATTTATTCAGAGATCAGTGTAAGTGGATTTTGGAAAAATGACATCAGTGTCGTGGTTTGCCACAGCCACTGATGATAGGATTACAGATGGTCAATAGGAACTGTAAACTTGATTGCGCACCTGGTTGTGAATGACTAGGCTGTTTGTTCCCAACTGAAAACACAGGTTTGATTTGTGCCTGACATCAGACAGATCCTGATCTCTTTCTGTTATTAATATAGGCACCAGACGGCGGTTGAAACAGTCGTCTCACTCATCGAACACTTTGGCCTTTGCCGGGTGAATTAGCACCACTGCATGTTTTTCCTAAAACATAGTCCAACGTGTAGGTGCTCTGTGTTTCAGGCTTCACTATAACATGTTTCAGGATGCCCTGACCAAGATACACCTGACTATTTGTGCTTGTTTGTTCATATCAAATGCACCAATTTGATTTATTGGAGGTCTGAACTAATGGCTGGGTTAACATGAGATGTTTTTGGTGGCTTCCTGACATCTGCTTTAGCTCCACTATGAAACAAAATATCCACTATTTCAAATGATATCTAAACAAATAGCACCAAACGTGTGGAAATGGTGTTTTATTGGAAAAATCAAATCTGTACTTAAATATAATTGATTATTGGTGGTTGTTTCATGCCAATTTGAAGAGCAGAGTATTGATTTGTAGGTGTAAGTGTGATGTCTTGAGTACGGTGGCCCTACAACCTAAGAAAACACATGCAAATAGACAAAACACAAGCAGAAAATATTTTAGAAAACATCTTCATCTGTTTGACACACGTTCTGCAAATACTCACAACACAACAGTGGTGTTTCCTGCGGACGCAAAAAAGTTATAACTGAGCACGTACCATGGAGACGTAGTCCTAATCGCAGTGGCCCGGATTCGAGTCCAACCCATGGACCTTTGCTGTATTTCATCCCCCCTGACTTTCCTGTCGCTATCAGAATAATGGCAAAAAAATGCCCTAAAAAATAACTATGTATTGAACAAGTGCGTCCCAGCGAGGTTCATCACTTTTTAGTGTCTGCAGGAAACACCACCGTTGGGTTGTGAGTATTTGCAGCACATGTGTTGTCATATTGATGAGGATATTTTCTGAATTTGTGCTTGTGTCTACTTGCATGTGTTTTCTCAAGTTGCAGTGCGTTGAGCTCTCAGGGCCACCGTACTTGAGGGATAATGAAGTACAGTATATCTTCAAATCTGCTTCCTGTACACCTGCAGTCTGCAGCGTAGTCATGTTTTTTACGCTGCTGTGGTCTGGACTTTTTTCCACTGCCTTTTTCTGTCTTATTCATAATTTACATCCCCAGTTTGTCAGAATGTTGTGGGAAACAAAACATACTTCATCGCTTTGTTGAAATGACCTTTCGATCACCCTGCACAAGCATGTTTTGCACCCAACTGGTGAATGGAAGAGAAACTGCTCCTTTTGTTCATTAGCGTGATTGATACCAATGCTGGGACTTCTAGCAGGACTAACACATAGAAAGATGCTGATTCCTCTGCCAGCATCTCTGGATCACATCTAGGTTTTTCTCTCCCATCTCCATTGTGAAACGCTGGGCTCCTGCAGGTCAGCACGCTGCCTCTGCATCTTTGTCCTCCATAAATCAAATCCAGCGCTCTCCGGCCCCCCCTCTGCATAAAAACACATCAGGCGGTGCACACACAGTCATATTTATCTACGTTAGCTGTCATCTTACTTGCCACTTAGTGTAGCTGGTTCATCTGGATCTAATAACGCCTGGAATGGACCAAATGGTGTGTAGATGTTTGGATCCATGTGTGTGTATGTGGAGAAGGAGAACCACTTTTGGAGAATTAGGGTCAAAGGGGGATCTCTAAAGAAAAAATGAGGGGGGACAGGACCTCTCACGGGGTTTATGCTCCCACAGGAAGGAGCTTCATGCTAAATGATTGCACAGAAAGAAAGAAAGACGCTTAGAGATCTCATCATTCACAGTTAGTGGAGCTCGCGGAGCTTCAGGGCCTCTGGAGAAGTGGATTAGGTGACTGCAGGATAAGGGGCGAGTGTGAGGGTTCATTTCTACAGTAACAGCATGAAGCTTTAAGACCCCTGCGGATATACTTCAGCCAGAAGTGTGTTTCAGAGATGTAGGGAGGAGAGGTTTAGATGATATGAAACATCCCTTTAGGAATGTTAATCCAGCCAAGCTGAGGTCAGTGGTTGATGGGTAAAATATCCATGAAGCAAAGGTGAAAACACAAAAGACGAACGTGCGAGTAGAGGCGCTGTACCTCGGCTTAAATCGGAGCTGGAACACTGAATTAAATCCCTGAGTGGACTTTGACATTTTGTATGCCTTCCATAAATTCAATTAATTTTCGATGTCCCTGCGTTTTGTGTTTTGAACCTGAGCCTGATAAAGTCACTGTTTCTCTAGTTTCCCCCAGGCCTCCAATCAGACCTTGCTGGACAAGTTCAAGCGTCAGCATGAAGGAAACAGCTACATCGAGTTCCCTGCTGTCATGGAGCCCGCCTTCATCATCAGACACTACGCTGGGAAAGTCAAGTACGGGGTCAAGGTGAGACACATCCTCTGCTGACAAACACAAAATGTTTAATGTCTTTGCACATGAAGTAACTGATACTGTAAACAGCTATTCAGTCACTTGTAAGCATCCTATAATATAATGAGACTTTTCTTAATGTATGTTAACATAAGTGAAACCCTGACTCTTTGGTTTATGGCTGGTATGGTGATACAAAAGTTCACACCAAGCAGGTTTGTGTGGCATATTTACTCTGACACATGAGAACATGCCATTCAAATCTAACAACTGAATTGAGGCACGCACCAAGTATAAGTCTCTATTGTCTTCCAAGACTGCTGAGTTGCTTGTAGTATCTCCTTATTGATGATCCTTCCTTGCAGTAATCTAGTAATCTTCATAAAACTAACTACAACAACAACAAACAATTGGGGTTTATGTATGAACTGTTTGCAGTCCTGAATTTACAGGGTGGCCCAAGAAATTTGGACCTGCCCCACTTGTCACTGCTGAGCCCGATGGACAAAGCAGTGCTGTGTGAAATGCAAAGAAAGTTTCAGATCATACAAGCACAAATTATATCCACTGTTATCTGAGTTAAGCTTCATTTGGGAGACTGAATAAAGAAACAAAATCTTTCACGACTAAAAACAATCTTTCTTTGCGATATTGTGGTTGCTATCCAAAAGAGTCCCCTTGATTGAAATCAGACCTTCTGAGCGTTAAAGCCCAATATGTCATCACGTCAGGTGTTTCATATTGACGTCAATGTGTTGGCGCAGTCAAAAAGTCATCACAAACAAAGTTTTCTGCAGTTTGGGATCTGGGTTGAACCTTGAAAGGCATAATACGTCTCCTTCAACAGAAGTGAAGCTGGTGTCTTTCTCTTTCTAAATCAGTATTGGATCTGGATTTGAAGTGTGAGCTAACATGTCAATTAAAAAGAGGTTTTCTTTCTGTGCGATAAAAACTGAAGTTCTGAAGTTTCTCTCTCTTCACATAAGCCTTGAAGGACCCTGAAAGTCTGCAGCACACCTACCTTGTTGTTCTGTCGACCTATTTCTCCAGCTAAATCTAATTCTCTGTTCACCTCCCAGCTGTGTTTTGATCAGAAGCACATGTGCTGGAGTGGGCTCAGCATATTGTTGTTTGACTGTATGATATAAATCCATAACAGCTGGTTATTGTGGATGTGGAAACGTATCTACTGAGAGCCAAGGAGTTGTTTGGTGTGAAGTGTGTAACAAGAGGCACAGTCGTGAAATGTGTCTGACGTTGGCTCGGTAGCTGACTAGTATCATGTGGAGAGAGAATAGGTTGATGGGTTTATAGTTCATGGCTCTGTTATCCTGGCGTGGCTTCAGTAAAAATATTTAATTACTTGCAGACAAAGGGGCAGAAGAAGACGTGATGGTATCTGCAGTTATATGTTTGTGAAAGAACAAAGGAAAGAGAGGTGTTCGAAATTGTTACAAAAATGTACTTTCCCCTGCCCCGAACACGGAGATCAAAGAAACTATTTCTAAGTTGTGTTCTTGCTACATAGCTAACGTTAGCATTAACAGCCAGTCTTTACTTCGCAAGCCAAGCAGCGCCAATGTTAACTCTTCTTTCTGTCATTTCTTTTCTTCTACTGAAGTTAGCATGCTAACCAGCTAGCCTTGTCGCTTTCCGATAGCGGCTCACTGTAGCCTCCGATCTGCCCTGAAGACGTGGTCCTGCTCAGAGGGAGTATCATTAGCTCTTGTCTTGTAAACTAAATAATGACCGAAGCTCTTGTCAAGCAACAATCCCTGCCACCTGCTCCCAGCAAGAAACCTCATTCTGGGGCAGAAAAAACTTACAAATAGCCCCTTTAATGGAATACTTCGACATTTTGGGAAACGTGTATATATTAGTTTTCCTGCCAAGAGTTACATGAAGAGTCACTCTCCTATCTGTATGCTCAGTATGGAGCTAGACCCAGCAGATGGTTAGCTTGGCATAGCATAAAGGCTGGAAAGGGGAGAAGCTGCTAGCCTGATGCTACCAGCCAGTCTAGAGACAGACAGGAAACACGAATGTTGTGGTTAAGTGGTGTGCCCCTGTCCACCACCGCCCACCGTTTCTGTAACTTTCTGAAACAAGTGGTCCGACATTCACACCCACTGGTTGGTCATCTTTGTGGAGGTGAGAGAGGAGCCAGGCATTTAACTTCTATTTGGGTCACTTACCATGTCAGCGACTTAAACTGATAGTTCAGGTTATTTGACTCGGGCTTGTATGAGCTTCTTATCCACAGTCGGTGTATTACCTGTAGAAGATAGCTCCAGTTTGGAGGGGCAGCCTGGAGTACTGGCTGGAGACAGGAGAAAAAACATATTTTAGCCACCTAAAAACATGCCAACCTAAAAAAAAGCCAATATCAGTTCGAGTGTAAGGTGTATTTTGAATGTTTTCACAGCTTTATTTTGCCCTTTATGACCCAAATAACTGATCTGCTGTTCTCCCTGTTTTTAAACAATATGAGAATGATGTTGATCTCCACATCTATATCGCTGCAAAACGAACTGAATAAGCCCATTTCCCAAAATGTCAAACTGTTCCTTTGACTGTGGAGCAACAGCAGTGAAACATTTGCCCATAAATAGTTGTAATAGTTGTAAACTGTGCTGCCAACTGGCTTTCCACTGTTTAACAAACAATAAAAAGCACAGCTCAGCACAAGACAATAACTTTTGCTTGTGTTTGTTATGGTAATTGAGCTGTATGATTCTGTTTGTTTAGATAACTAATGAGTTTCACAAAGTTTCCCCTGTGGTTGTGGATGATTTTTCGATTTGTGATGTTGTGATAGAAACATAAACTGAAGCTAAACTTGAGTGGATAAAGAAACAGACAAACCTTTGCTTAATTATGACAATACAAACTTTATTGTCTTTCCTTCATTCAGGACTTCAGGGAGAAGAACACTGACCACATGCGTCCCGACATCGTGGCCCTGCTGAAGAGCAGCAAGAACGCCTTCATCTGCGGCCTGATGGGAATCGACCCCGTGGCGACTTTTCGCTGGGCCGTGCTGCGAGCTTACTTCAGAGCCCTGGTGGCTTTCAGGGAGGCCGGCCGCAGACACACCCACAAAAAAACTGGTGAGGAAAGGCCTAGGAGTCCCACATGAACACACTATTTCTGCCAAAGTTTGAACAGTTGTGGTTATTTCGCGTGAGAAATAATTTTTTTTTCTCACTGGTCTGAAGTGATCAGGGCTTTCCTCAAAATTGTAGCAGACTTTCAAAATAAGATGAAGTTTTATTTACAGTAAACCCACATTCTTCTACATAACATGATTTAATTTCTTTATTTATTAGATTATTCCACAGCTCTTTGTGTGTGCTTTTTTTTTTTTTACTGTCACCTGACTATAAGTGTGTTACTGTACTGATCCCACTTCATTATGTTAAAATTTAACTAACCAAACATCTGGGCTCCATAGAGTCTTGAGGTGCAGGATGTAAACATTAACAAAGTGTGTCCCAGTGAGCTCTGATAAACATCCACATGCTCTGAGTCTTAATGGCAGTTTCCGGACACACGCCACACAAGTCGGCACTTAACTACTCGTAAAAACTGTAAGTGTGTGTGTTGGGACGGATGCTTCTATGACTCATGGTGGGTTGTTTGGTGACTGTCAATCAAATCTGATCAAACCACACCCACACAGTCCTGATGGAGCAGATTAGCTCCAGTTCACTGTCGCCAATTTAGCGATTTGTTGTGGTAGATCTGGTGACTTTTAAGGCTCCATAAGCAACTTCTTTCTCAAAAAGGAGTCTACCAACAGACCTGGCAGCCGTTGGACAGACGCTCCAATATTGTGCTCTCACCGCTGCTCGCTGTTGCTGTGTATCTCTGGATCGACTCTGTTCAGTGACTTACAGTCAGGCAGAAACATGAATGAGCTGTAAATGTGTGAACCTGTGTTAATGACCAGTCACAGGTCTCCATTGTTTGTCCGCCTTTGTTTTTGTTCAAGAATGAATACATTTTATCCCGGTTGTAATTTTTCACTTGAATCTCTATCGTAATGTACGATTTATGAGAGTTGGTTTATTCCAGTGTTAGGATCATTTATCAGTATATAACAGACATAAAGTTTGTTGGTAGATTTAGATGCACATTGATGAGATGACAGCAGCTTGGATAGTGATAATACCTCAAGCTTAGTTTGATTTCATTTTTCTCAAAGGTTTTAAAACTTTAAAACTTTTAATCTGTTTTGTGGATGCAGGTGTAGATGTTTTCGATTAACCTCTTTATAAATGATATATAATGTGTTATCTCACGTGATTGTTGCTTAGTTACTCATGAATATTTGATGTTGCAGAGAAATATTCAAGATTTGAAAAAATGACCTGACACTAAACCAAACTCTCCTTCTGTAGAGTCCAAATGAGGCAACATTGCCTCATGCGAAAAATCAGCAAACAGCAGAAACATAATAAAGTATATTTTCTTGCTTAAACAATTAGTCCATTAATTAAGTAGTGGGCCGACAACAACAGTTTTGTTAATGAATTAATTGTATAAAAAAGTTAGCAAGAAAAAGAGCTCAACACATCTTCTTTATGACGTCTCAAATCAGGATTTGTTTCTTTTCTATGATTTCTATCGTTGTAAGTAGAAGATCTTTGAGTATCTGTGTGTTGGTTGGACAGAACAAGCAGTGTGAGGATGTTACCTTCAGCTCTGGGAATTTGCATGAAGCATTCGTCACTATTTTTGACATTTTATAGACTAAACAGTCAATTTATCAAAAATGATAATGATCCATAATGAAAATAATTCAGGAGTTGCAGCAGTAATGACTGTTACGTGATAAAAAACACAGTTTGAACCCAATAAACACACATTTCTCCTCCTGCATTTTCTCAGAAATAGGAATTACTCAAAAGTTGTTTTTCATCTCCCAGCAGGCAGCAATAACTGTGCTTCATGTAATGTTTCAGTATAATCCTAAGTTCACCGCTGAACTCCCACTTGTGTGCTGTAATTCATAACTGTAGAGAAAGCTGTGCTGCATGCAGCCAAATTCAAGGTTTAATTGGGCCAAGAACAACAGGGTGTGTTTGTGGAGGTGAGGAGTTTTAACTTGGAGCTGTGCTTCTGCTGTAGATGATGATGATGAGGAGGAGGAGGAGGAGGAGGAGGAGGAGGAGGAAGGTTTTGATCTTCTTCTCCAGTGTTTATTTTCATAAACTGGGAGTAACAGTGCAGTGTTTGAAAATGTCACCAGTGACTTCTCTCAGAGGGTTTTGTCTTTGTTCCCTCTTTAATTCTTATCAGCTTTCTCTTCTTGTTTCTGCTCAGCTGATGCTTTCCTTCTCCTCTTTCTACTACTTTATTTTCCCTTTTTTAATGTTTAATATTTAAAACTTTTTTTTTTTCCTGTAATCTAACATGGTGATTCTTCATAGGAAACATTAAGTCTCTCTCTCTCTCTCTCTCTCTCTCTCTCTCTCTCTCTCTCTCTCTCTCTCTCTCTCTCTCATTATTTCAGGGAATGATGCAGCAGTTCCCTGTGCTGTTGTGAAAACCGTTGACAGCTTCAGTTTCCTCCACCACCCGGTTCACCAGAGGAGCCTCGAGATCCTTCAAAGATGCAAAGATGAGAAATACAGTAAGTAACCCCCAAAGAGCCTCTGAGCCTCATGTTGATGTGTAAGAATAACACGATTAAAAGTGATATCTGCAGGTGAAATCACCTCAGAAGAGAGAAAATCAAAAAGTGCTTCTGTTTACTCACAAACATTCAAAGTAATTAAAAAAAAACAAATAGTGAAATCACTGAATTTTGCTGCAAACAGTTTTTTACATCCAGTTTCACCTTTGTTCATCTAAATTTCCTTGAAACACTTGAATGAACCATCTGCTTCCAAAAGAGACGAAGGTTTTTGTTAAATTAAACTTTGTTTAATTCAAAATGAGAGATTTGTTGTGATTTGATATTTGTTTTTTTGTTTTCAGTTTTTTTTTTCATTTTTATAACCTCAATCCTTCACCCTGAGTAGTTTTTTTTTTTTTTACTGGCTGTGAATGTGTGATTCAGATTATCCACAACAAATAATAGGACATTTTGTCACTGTGTTTTTTTTTTTTTAATCTATGAAATTTTATTCCAAACTATGGCAGTATGTTAGTAAAATCTATTAAATCTCCTTCCCAATCTCCACACAACTAATTTAAATGTGTTTACTGGTAGAAATCCAGCTGTCTTTCAGTTGCACTTAGAAAATTCGTACATTTCTTCAAGATCAACTTCTCTGTGTTTTATACTGGGATCATAAATTGAATTTTTTTTTTTTAGATTAGTGACGTGCGAGAGTAAAACTCCTCATGTCTAAGCAGTGTTTGAAAGCTGCTCCCTGTTAATGGGGTTTATAATGAAACCGTGTCCTGTCGATAAAGGTCTGCTGAATTGAGCTGGACTGAAGTGAACAGTGCTCCCAGTTCCCATGTTTTAAATCAGAAGCTCTTCACTGAGCTCAAACCAATCAAAGGAATCAATCCCAGGTCACACTGAAAAAGTCTTTTATGGTCAGGTTGAGAATATTAGATCCCTGCTTTTATTATGGCTGTTAATAAGAATAATTGGAAAGCAGACGCTTTTCACATTGACTCACCTCGGAGCAAAGCTCATAACCAGACGTATTCCCACGCATGAGCGATCAGACAAATGAATCAGCCCCATGTGGATCAGCAGGGTTTAACGAAGCACCTGGATTTTCTGGTCGTGCTTTTATCACTTGTTTTACCACTGATAACCAAGTGTTTGTGGCACATGTGTGTCATCATACGCCTACACATCCAAGTGTGTGCATGCAGGTCGTGTGTTGTCATGTTGTAAAACAGCACTTTGCTGTCATGCACATAACTCGGCACAGAAATTGATTTTCAAGGAAAATTTCCAAGAACACTCTCCAAAGAGTTTCCTCTGTTAAAGGGAAACTCCGCTGATTTTACACATTAACATCAGTTTCCGTCACAGTTAGTTCTGCTCAGCCTGTGAAAACAGTTCAGTGATGTGTCCTGTGGCTCTAGAGGAGCAGGCAAGTCTGAGAAAATAACCCCTGTTGATGTGATCAGGGTTATCTCTGCCTGGGTTTGGAGAGGGAAATGAAAATCCTGTGTTACAAACTGAAGTGGGGTCTGAAAGACGTGGGCATTTATCAGACTCATAGGGCCTGATTTACTAAGATCCCAAATAAAGAGCGCTAAATTGCGTGCGCACACGGATAGATTGCGCGCGCTGCCTGTTTGGGGCTTGCGGGTGATTTACTTAGATTAACAGCGCAATTGACTACAGGTGCAAAAGTGATTGAGCCCACCCTATTTAAATGAGGACTTTGCGCGAGTTAAGGGTTTCACCATGGCGAATGCAAACGAGCAGACCCAACGGAAGCGCAAGAGCAAATTTGAAGCCACGGAATTGGAGGTGCTGGTACAAGAGGCAAACAAGCACATTTCTGAGTTTCATAGCAGGCACTGCATGACTCCTCCATGTGACTGGATCCAAATCAGCTCCTACTTCACGGAGAAGCTCCAAAATGGCATCGCCGGATAACCGATATGTCTCGATTATTTTTTCTTCTGCCACTCCATAAAGAGTGACACGAACAGAAAAGATGGTTCTCTCCGTTGCCTGTCGTGCCTACGCCGCCTCCTTGCAACAATGACCACAGTCATCTGTGCGCACAGCTGTGCCAGGTAGCCTAAGACTTGACTTTCAAACGTGCTAAATATAGACGCAAAAATAATAAGCGCAATTAGTTTCAGGTTTGGTAAATCACATTGCGTGCGCAAAATGATTCTATTTGCATCTACTCCTCCCGATATTTTGCGCGTTCTGGCAGGCACGCAATCCTCGGTGCGCCCTGTTGGTAGATCAGCATCAACATGTGTTTGCGCGTGCTGTCGCGTTTGCGCACGTTTTTACGCACGCAAAGCTTTAGTAAATCAGACACCATGAAGCAGGATTATGGGAAATGGAGGATTTTCTCAATGGAGCATTTTTGGTCTTTGAACCACAGGAACTTACTCATTTTCTGTACCTGAGTACAGTTTTGAGGTACTTGTACTTCACCTAAGTATTTCCATTTTATGCTACTTTATACTTCCACTCCACCACATTTTAGATGGAAATATTGTTCGTTGTGCTCCACCACATTTATTTCACAGCTTTAGTTACTAGTTACTGATGAAGATTTTAAACAATGGATGATAAACAAGCTTTTTCAATACAACACAGTATTAAAGGTTAAACCAGACATATTAACCTTTTTGGCTTTTGACGTCTCACAAAAAGCAGCGCAGTCATATTTCAGATGTCTATGAGTTTGTTAACAGCTCCACCAAATACTGATTTTTCCCTCCCATGGTTCAAATGATCCAATATTACACCAAAAATAAAAATTTAGACATTTTTACATGAACATTTTTATGAATTAATCCAACAAGAAATGATGTTAATGAGAGAGCTCTAGAGATGAGAGCTGCTAGGTAGATGTTGTTCCCTTTGTTAACCCTAGGCTAGCTGTTTCCCCCTGTTTCCAGCATCTGTGCTAAGCTAAGCTTACTTTCTGCTGGTTGTAGCTTCCTGTTTACCATACAAACATTACAGTGGTATCAATCATGAAGTGTGTGTGTGTGTGTGTGTGTGTGTGTGTGTATGTGTAAAAGTACAGTAAAAGNGTGTGTGTGTGTGTGTGTGTGTGTGTGTGTGTGTGTGTGTGTGTGTGTGTGTGTGTGTGTGTGTGTGTGTGTGCATATGTGTAAAAGTACAGTAAAAGCAGTGAGTTTAAGTTTTAACAAGAGAAAACCACATATGTAAACAGGAAACACCCAGCTCAAGCACTGAGGTGAAGAGAAAAAAATCTGTCAATCTCACACACACACACA